TGGTGACCATCTTGGGTGATGGAATGGCTTCAAAGTAACAACACTTAGTCAGCCCTTCATAAGGAACATTCATGCCATGTTTGGTTTCATTCCATTCAGTGGTTCTCTCAAAGAAAACATTTGTAAATATTTTGCATAGGGACCTGTGTTAAACTAAGTCCCCCGCAGGCGGCCATCTTGGATGATAAATCTGCTTCAAAGTAACAACACTTAGTCAGCACCTCATAAGGAACATTCATGCCATGATTGGTTTCAATCCATTCAGTGGTTCTGTAAAAGAAGACATTTGTATGTATTGTCCGTAGGGTCCTTTGTTAAACACTGTCCCCAGCTGGTGACCATCTTGGGTGATGGAATGGCTTCAAAGTAACAACACTTGGTCAGCCCTTCATAAGGAACATTCATGCCATGTTTGGTTTCATTCCATTCAGTGGTTCTCTCAAAGAAAACATTTGTAAATATTTTGCATAGGGACCTGTGTTAAACTAAGTCCCCCGCAGGCGGCCATCTTGGATGATGAATCTGCTTCAAAGTAACAACACTTAGTCAGCACCTCATAAGGAACATTCATGCCATGTTTGGTTTCATTCCATTCAATGGTTTTCTAAAAGAAGACATTTGTATGTATTTCCCATAGGGTCCTATGTTAAAATAAGTCCCCCGATGGCGGCTATCTTAGATGATGGATCGGCTTCAAAGTAACAACGCTTGGTCAGCACCTCATAAGGAACATTCATGCCATGTTTGGTTTCATTCCATTCAGTGGTTCTCTCAAAGAAAACATTTGTAAATATTTTGCATAGGGACCTGTGTTAAACTAAGTCCCCCGCAGGCGGCCATCTTGGATGATGAATCTGCTTCAAAGTAACAACACTTAGTCAGCACCTCATAAGGAACATTCATGCCATGTTTGGTTTCATTCCATTCAATGGTTTTCTAAAAGAAGACATTTGTATGTATTTCCCATAGGGTCCTATGTTAAAATAAGTCCCCCGATGGCGGCCATCTTAGATGATGGATCGGCTTCAAAGTAACAACGCTTGGTCAGCACCTCATAAGGAACATTCATGCCATGTTTGGTTTCATTCCATTCAGTGGTTCTCTAAAAGAAGACATTTGTATGTATTTCCCATAGGGTCCTATGTTAAACTAAGTCCCTTGCAGGCGAACACTTGGTCAGCACCTCATAAGGAACATTCATGCCATGTTTGGTTTCATTCCATTCAGTGGTTCTCTAAAAGAAGTCTTTGTATATATTTCCCTAAGGGTCCCATGTTAAACTAAGTCCCCCGCTGGCGGCCATCTTGGATTATGGATCGGCTTCAAAGTAACAACACTCGGTCAGCACCTCATAAGGAACATTCATACCATGTTTGGTTTAATTCCATTCAGTGGTTCTCTAAAAGAAGACATTTGTATGTATTTCCCATAGGGTCCTATGTTAAACTAAGTCCCCCGCTGGCGGCCATCTTGGATTATGGATCGGCTTCAAAGTAACAACACTCTGTCAGCACCTCATAAGAAACATTCATGCCATGTTTGGTTTCATTCCATTCAGTGGTTCTCTAAAAGAAGACATTTGTATGTTTTTCCCATAGGGTCCTATGTTAAACTAAGTCCTCGCAGGCGGCCATCTTGGATGATGAATCTGCTTCAAAGTAACAACACTTAGTCAGCACCTCATAAGGAACATTCATGCCATGTTTGGTTTCATTCCATTCAATGGTTTTCTAAAAGAAGACATTTGTATGTATTTCCCATAGGGTCCTATGTTAAAATAAGTCCCCCGATGGCGGCTATCTTAGATGATGGATCGGCTTCAAAGTAACAACGCTTGGTCAGCACCTCATAAGGAACATTCATGCCATGTTTGGTTTCATTCCATTCAGTGGTTCTCTCAAAGAAAACATTTGTAAATATTTTGCATAGGGACCTGTGTTAAACTAAGTCCCCCGCAGGCGGCCATCTTGGATGATGAATCTGCTTCAAAGTAACAACACTTAGTCAGCACCTCATAAGGAACATTCATGCCATGTTTGGTTTCATTCCATTCAATGGTTTTCTAAAAGAAGACATTTGTATGTATTTCCCATAGGGTCCTATGTTAAAATAAGTCCCCCGATGGCGGCCATCTTAGATGATGGATCGGCTTCAAAGTAACAACGCTTGGTCAGCACCTCATAAGGAACATTCATGCCATGTTTGGTTTCATTCCATTCAGTGGTTCTCTAAAAGAAGACATTTGTATGTATTTCCCATAGGGTCCTATGTTAAACTAAGTCCCTTGCAGGCGAACACTTGGTCAGCACCTCATAAGGAACATTCATGCCATGTTTGGTTTCATTCCATTCAGTGGTTCTCTAAAAGAAGTCTTTGTATATATTTCCCTAAGGGTCCCATGTTAAACTAAGTCCCCCGCTGGCGGCCATCTTGGATTATGGATCGGCTTCAAAGTAACAACACTCGGTCAGCACCTCATAAGGAACATTCATACCATGTTTGGTTTAATTCCATTCAGTGGTTCTCTAAAAGAAGACATTTGTATGTATTTCCCATAGGGTCCTATGTTAAACTAAGTCCCCCGCTGGCGGCCATCTTGGATTATGGATCGGCTTCAAAGTAACAACACTCTGTCAGCACCTCATAAGAAACATTCATGCCATGTTTGGTTTCATTCCATTCAGTGGTTCTCTAAAAGAAGACATTTGTATGTTTTTCCCATAGGGTCCTATGTTAAACTAAGTCCCCCGCTGGCGGCCATCTTGGATGATGGATCCGCTACAAAGTAACAACACTTGGTCAGCACCTCATAAGGAACATTCATGCCATGTTTGGTTTCATTCCATTCAGTGGTTCTTTAGAAGAAGTTCAAAATGTAAAAAGTTAACGCCGACGACGGACGCCAAGTGATGAGAAAAGCTCACTTGGCCCTTCGGGCCAGGTGAGCTAATAAAAAGGCAGGACAAAATTTTTCATCCTAGCCCCCCCCCCCCTCAAAATCAAATGGTAGCTCCCTTAGAATCATCACAGCGTTTGTAACACACGTGGTTTTCAACGTATTAAGTACCATCATTGTTTCCGTTTCTTTCCCCTCCCCAAAAAGTACCTTTCATGTTAAAAATGTCTGACAATCAAAATATACGTGAATAAACTGTACAATAAAGACAGCAAAGGTCAGCAAAAAATCTGGGATTTGTTGACAATTAAAATTTTGTGAAATTCCTAGTTTTAAACAAAATTTTGACTAGCCCGTCAGACTACTGTGATGAAAACTTAACTAGCCCTCCCCAATATTTACTAGCCTCGGGCTAGCGGACTAGCATTAGTGTCGAACCCTGATGATTATTCCGTTTGGGTTATTTTGGGAGGAAAACGAAAATAAAGGCGTCCGGATATTGCATCGGACGGACTTTTAAGTCATAGACAAGACTTCCGTTTAGGACTGTTTAAAATTACACATAATTTTCATAGGTACTTGGGGACAGGACAACTATTTTCATGTTTTTTTTCTGTATACTATGAACATACATATATTATAAATAAAGTGTATTTGCTATTTACTATCAATTCCAAGTTTACTTTCTACGGCAGTCACTGATATATTATGTAGAGAGTTTCTTGGAATTGATAGTAAAATAGCAAATATACTTTATTTACAGTATATATATGTTCATAGTACATTTGTATTAGAAAACGAGAAAATAATTGAAATTAACAGAAAACAAAAAATAACGGATTTTGAAAAAAGGGAGGGCTAAAAAAAAAACTGTCCTGTTCCCAAGTACCATGGGGGGTCTCTTCCTGTATGAAGGTATATACATATGTGCCGCTGGAATGGGTCCCTTTTTTGATACGTCAAATATATCAATGGGGTGCAATTTTACCGAGGAAATATATCAATAGGTAGTACTTGACCAATTGTGATATATCAATGAGTCATAATTTTTCAGTTTGTTGTGCAACGATCTTCACTGAATTTCCCAAACTGTTTGTCATTAAAATTGCATATAGGTACTATTTGAGCTGATAAATATATGTATGTGTTATGATTTCGCTGTGAAATATATGTAAAGGTAGGGATTTCACGATTATTCAATATATGAATGGGGGCTGTTTTTTAAATCCCAGCTGCACAACTGTACCCAAAATCCCATGTTGAGACCCCCCCCCCCGGAACCAAGTACCTATGACTTTTGATACCTTTCCTGAAATTCTCCAGTCATAAAATCTTTTACAAAAATTCATCCTACAACAGTTTACATACTTTCAACCTTCAACCACGCTCTAAACAAGGATTCTCACTATACAAATCCTTGCTCTAAATGCCCGTGATTTCGCGGGTGTGTTCTAGTATAATTAAAATTACAATGTAAAAAGTTTTAACCAAAATTTATACAAAACAGAAGAAAAAGAAAATTACTTTGAACTTTTATTTGTATATATTTATCTGTAAATAGAAATTATAAATCCCACGCACGCGCGGCATAGTCTAATGTCAGTGACATCAGTGCCCGTCATGTTATCATCAGTATGTTGATTGAGTGCTGAATTATAAAGAAGAAGAAGATAACTTTGAAGAATAAGTTTATTCTAAGGATCAATTAGTTTACATGGATCATATTTAAATTTACAGGGCAGTAAAGCCAGTAATGGCAGTAAATTATGCCAGTATGCTTTACTCTGGAACTGATTTTCTTCAACTAAATGTGGATTACTCTGAGACCTCACCTTCTTTTTTAAAAGGGCCATGGATCAATGATAGTGTTGATATAGTGCGGTAAAATCTGATGTCTGCTTTAGATGAAGTTTCTTCAACTTTATGAACTAACATTCCCCCTCCCCCTTTTGGCTTTTCCCAAAAAACAATCCCAAAGGATAACATTTCATTTTTGTCAAATTTTCCGAGCATTTTATAGATAAATATGTAACGCAATTATACTATTTCATAACAAACTTCATAACTGAACATGTCATCAGATTAAAATGCAATGTTTTGTCACCTCATGTTCAATCGGGTCGTCTTCTTCGTCCGACATTGTTTCTACTGTTATACTCACAGGGCATAAATTAAATATTGCTGATCCCTAATCTGATTTAAAAGAAATATTTTTTTATTATATATATTAATTTCTGTGATAATCATTATTTCGTTGGTTTTACATTTTGTATATGAATCTGATAAGCCTTAAAAACAAGAAATTGCGATTTGTTTGAACCAAGGATTTGTACAAATCCTTGTTTGAATAAGAATTATTTAGTTACGAATTTGTTTGTTACTTGTTTGTTAAGAATTATTCAGTGGAGGATTATGCCAGGCAATGGGTTAAACGCGAGAAAGAGGACGTAGATACTCTTTCTGAATGGATTAATGCTGTGAGGTCGTAGATACAAATCAGAATTAAGAAACTGAATGGTCTATTAATACCCATGCTACATCAATCTTTAAACATGGACCCAAATGTTGCAAAACACTTGTCATGCCTCCATGACAAATATGTTGTTGTCCCAACAGATAAAGCCCCAAACAACATCGTTTTTGTGTGTTAATGACATTACATATAAATAAGAAGATTTCACAATGTGTAAAAAGTAAACAATTATAGGTCAAAGTACGTCCTTCAACACGGAGAATAAACTGCTTGATAAATGAATTAGGTATTGACAATTCACTTGGAAACTCAACATATACCCCCACGACACTTACTAAAGAGGGAATCCTGGATAATCACAGAGGCGGATTTAGGGGGGGAGGGGGCCCGGCCCCCCTTTTTTTGGAAAAATTTGGTTGATTATATAGGGAATCACTGAAGCATGACTGGAGCGGACCCCCTCTTAGGCAGACAGTGGGCCCCACTTATGAAAATTTCTGGATCAGCCACTGAATCATAGGTCTGTTCTATGTTCCTTTGGAATTTCAACCAAAGATGAAGAACTGGATCTTCCATCACTGTATTGGATACCTAAACTACATAAGTGTCCTTACAAACAACGGTATATTGCTGGGTCTTCCATGTGCTCCATGAAACAGCGTTCTAAATTAATTTTTAACATAAATTTTATCAGCAATCAAAGCCGAACTTCAAAGTTATTGTGAAACTACCTATTCTAGAGGTGGCGTGAATCAGATGTGGATACTAAAAAATTCCAAAGATCTTATAGAGTACATACAATCTAAGATTCTTTAATCTTGCAATAGTATAATACTATAATCTTAGGGCCGTAAATTGCCTGCTATGTAAGTGGAAGCAGTTGAGTATCAATCTTTTTTTTTGACCCATTTTATGCAGACCAGTTTCAACCTCGCATTTTATTCCTCAGACTGATATGGCGAGACAGCAGGATTTGTAACATGCCCGAGAATGCGCCACAGGAAAATCCCGTGCTACAAAATTGGCGGGAAAGGAGTTGGGTACCGTTCAGCGATATTTACCAGATCTAAATATCGAACACACCCTGCCATTATGATTAATCACCTTGTTGGTTAAACTATAACAACCAGTGCTATTAAAATAATGTATGATTTTAACCATTTTTTTACTTTTCTGTTTTTTTTCTTTATTTTTTCTTTTTTTTGTCAGCCCGCAATAGGAGGCAACTGCCTACATGCCTCCATGTAATTTACGGCCTTAGCTGGTATTAAAACATTTAACTTTTCTACAATTTACACAATATTCCCCATTCCAAACTAAAAGACAAATTAAAAGAGTTGGTCCTGCTTTGTTTCATAAAATAAGAATGGCCAACGTAGATACAAGACTTAAAGTATCTTGTGCTAGGGAGGGATAAATCCTACATTGTACAAAATTACTCTGAATCCCACAAAAAATTCTCTGAAACAGACATTAGAGAGCTACCATTTGATTTTTTTTTTGGGGGGGGCTAGGATGAAAAATGTTGTCCTGCATTTTTTTTAGTTGTAAGTCTGTCCTGCATTTTTATTTTTCACTCTATTCGGTCCTGCATTTTTTTCTTCTTCTTCTTCCATATACTGCCCACATTCAACTTTCTGAATATACTGGCAACATTATTATTATATCCTGACTTTTTTTTACATAAATTGTCATCCTGCATTTTTTTTTTTTTTTGCCAAGTTGCTCATCCTGCCTTTTTTTTTACTCAAAACTCCTGTCCTGCCTTTTTTCAATATTCATCATAGCCCGCCCCCCCCCCCCCATAAAAATCAAATGGTAGCTCCCTTATCAAGATGCTTCATTTCTTTATTGACAACATATTTGTTACGTTTGGAGGACGTGTTTTTCAACAAACAATCGGCATATTCCCATGGGAACAAACTGTGCGGCCTTTTCTTGCCTACTTGTTCCTTTATTCATATGAGGCTGACTTTATACAGGAACTTTTAGGAAGAAAGAAAAGAAGTTAGCAGCATCCTTTAACTTTACTTTCCGCTATATAGATGATGTTCTCTCGCTAAATAATTCAAAATTTGGTGACTATGTTGAACGCACTATCCCATCAAACTTGAGACAAAGGATACAACAGATACAGTTAGGTCTGCTTTATATCTTCACTAACATCTAGAAATTTACAATGAGGGTCGGTTGAAAACAAAACTTTACGACAAAAGAGATGATTTCAGCTTCCCAATTGTGATCTTTCCATTTCTATGTAGCAACATTCCAGCAGCGCCTGCATACGGAGTACATTTCCCCAGATGATACGATATTCCAGGGCTTGTGTTTCTATCAAGATTTCCTTGATAGAGGGTTGCTGCTCACAAGTAAAAATCTTTCAATATTCACCTTATCATTTTTATCGAGACTATGTCGGTTTTGCAGTACATTTTTTTAAATAAGTAGTACCTCGGGACTTTTCTTAATCCCAATCAATGAATTTTCAATCGGCAGACCTCGGCAGCTTCCCCTACCCTAGATATTTTAGATTTTTATGTCAACACAAACAACACGTGAGAAGGATGGCGGAAGACGTCAACGAACAATCATCTCTGTTAAAACCACAGAAAAAGATATTGAAACAACAGGTCTTGCTTTTTTAAAGTAGCAAAAAATCTGTTTTCATGGAAAACTGAATATAATTTGGTTTCCTCCACCATACTTTCGGTTTCGCATTCAAATTATGAATTAATGAGTCACAATATTTTTGTCAGTTTTTGTTTTCTTTTCCTCTAGCTACTTAAAAGCGGGAAACAAAGATTTATATCAAATCTAAGAAATAAACTGACAAAAAATATGAAAATGTATGATACAAGGAAACAAATGTATACTTCTTGCATGGATATCTTCATTGAATCTAGACTAGAGTTTGAACGTGTTCAGAGAAAATGTCATTGATTGGAAAACGATGCACAGAATACATTGAACTTTCTGAAATAGGTTGTGCTCTCAAAAATAACAATACAACATCTTACGGTTCAACACAATTGGTGGAAGATTCGGTAAACTTTTTGGTAATATGAAATATATCGTGCTTGCTTTCAATGGGCTTCATGGCTATAAATTACAAAGATAAGATAAAATGTGTATAGTAGTCTCAGATTAGAGGCAACTTTATGATAACATTAAAAAAACATATTAAAAATAAAACACAATTTTTTAATGCCATAAAAAATTAAATATTTTGTCAGTCAGAAAATCAAATTAAGAGACACCTCCAAAAAAAGAAGTTTCATAAAGACAAAACAGTTTGCATTTGTTATATTTTTATATATGTTGAAATTATATGCCCGACTTGCCTGACTCATACATTTGTCAGACCGAACAAGCAATTTTTTGTGTCTGTTGCCCGTGGACAAGTAAAAAAAAAAGTTGCTTGACAATGATAATTTATATAATCATATAGAAAAATCCTCAAAATTTATTCATCAAAGTAGAAAATATATCAAATAACAAAACAAAAGCCACATGTTTAAGTAAAACAACATCAATGATCAAGAAATAGATCGATGATCAAACAACAAAAAATAAGTATGCGGACCAGGGTTTCATTAATATTTTGCGATTTTTTTCCCATTGATCCGGGATTGTCTATCAGGTTATAGCAACAATACATAGGAAATGGTCATTTTTTAATTTTGAGCTCTGATTTCTAGAGAATGAAAACTAAATTATCAGTCGAGTTGAATAAGCATCTTTCAGATAGGTCATTGGTCGGAAGTTGACCAATGTAGAAGATGCGTCTAATAAAAAATAAAGTTTTAGAGCCAATAACTTGATTTTGACAAGAAACAGAAATCAGAAGCGAAAAAGGACAAATAGTATGGAAATAAACGGAATAGAGGATTTTAAAGTTCTATAATGTTTAGATTTCACTTAGTTATCTAAAAAATCTCAAATTTACAATTGGCCTACCAAAAATAAAAATCTCAAATTTACAATCAGTCAGGGGTACTACTTGTACAAGTAATCTTTATTTACTTGAAGAAGTAAAAAAAATATACTTATATAAGTTAATTATAATGTTTGAATAATCTCCCCTTAATTTTCTCCAAAATTCACTTGTATAAGTAAATTTTTTTTACAATCCCACAAAAATTCTCAAGTTTTGAGATGTAAAAACATGCCTTTAATAATTTTTCCCAGGTTAGCTCATAATTTTTTATTAGAGTTCAGTGTTTCATCTCATTAATTCAACAAAGAAAGTGATTGCGCAAAGATCGCAAGGCCTTCAAAAATTGCTCCTTGGGGGCTTGTAAATGAGCAGTGTTCTGAAGATAACAGACAAATGAGATTTTCATTGTCCATGAAATTACACTTAAATGCTTAGTTAAGACATCTGCAAAGGACAGACAATTTAAAATTCTATTAGAGCAAAGAAGTCCTAAGAATTCAAGAAAAGAAGATAGGATGTCTTTTTCACTTATATAAGTAAAGAAATCTGAATGTCTAAGGGACATAACTAAGCCAGTTTTTTTTTACCTATACAAGTAAATAAAATACACTTGTATAAGTATCCTACAAATTTACTTATATAAGTATATTAATATTACTTCTTCAAGTAAATAAAAATTACTTGTACAAGTAGTACCCCTGACTGACAATTGGCCTACCAAAAATGTTTTTTTGGGGGAAAGGGGGGAGGGGTGCAAAGAACAATTCAATAACAATGAATAATTTGGTTTTCATCTCTTCATTAACTTTAAAACTTTGCACAGGGTCACAGTGAAGAAAATATAAATTATGATATAATCTCCAAGGTTTGTGTAAGCTAGCATCGAAAAACATTGCAAAATTAGCCTCTAGATTCTTCAGTTTAAAGTTGTTTTATTGGTTGGTTTCTATCACATTGGTGTATACTCTACTTATCTTTTTACAATTCTAACATACAAACAAAGAGTTCAACAATTGCAATAATAAACACACAAAAGATTCTGAATTTACAGTCATCAGTGATGTTATTTTCAGACATCTTATACCTCTACTTTGTCATCTCAACAAGGAGTCAATACAGTGACTAGTAGTATCAATGAGCCCCGTAAAACACATGTACCTAAACATATACCTGATGAAAAGATACTGTCTGGAAAGTATGAGGTAAGTATATAGAAAATATATAAAAAAAAGAACTTAATCAAAAGTTTATTGCAAAAAACTTATCGAAGATTATACCAGGCTTATAATCTTGTATGCCAGACGTGTTTCGTCTACAAAAGACTCATCAGCATGATCAGTGATACTCTAATAAAAGTTAAAAAACGTAGACTTGAAATAAAAAGTGACTACCACGGTATAACATTTTCTTTCTTGGTCCATTCTGACTATAGCTTAAAAAGGTTCACATGATTTCTGATTATTGTTAAATTGAGATAAACAGATAAAGTGTTGTTTAATCTATTTGTTAGATCATAGATGTACATTGTTCATAAGAGTGTGTTGAGTGGTACCATCCTGTTCCTAGTACAAAATACTTCATTTCTACTTCAAACAATACACAAACAATTTACTTTTTATAATATTACCAACAGTTTTCAGCTGACATTTGATTTTCACAATATCAGCTGGAGTAATCTTTGTGTTAACAATTTATTTTTTTTATAAAAATTTAAGTTTTCTCAACGCTGATCAAACCAATTATCATATAAGTGTCAACTTTTTGATTGGTCCTTGTGTTTGCCATTTTTATTACAACTGAGCAGGGTTGGCAAAAACCCAGGTTTTATGAGTATTGCCCAGCCCAGTTTTACCGGGTAATACTGGGTAATACTGGGCAATACTGTTATTTCATTGGCACTCATACCACATCTTCCTATATCTATGAAGACGCATAAGACAAATATGAAAAGCTTTTCTTAATAATCCTCCTAAAAATCTAATCGCCATTCTGTCTAGATTGGTCAAAGTGTTGACTTAAAGTCGAAGAATTCAATTTAGTTTTTTAATAGATATAACTAATATTAACAATTAACAATTATATGTAAGGAAAACTGCTTTTAAACATTTTTTTTCATTACTAGAAATGTTTACTAAGTTTTAGCATATGTTTTTGTACATTATCCAAGTGTAACGAAGTTATAAATGATCAATTAGACAAAACAATATGTAATACTGAAATAGATGTGACATGTTTAAAAGAAACAATTTGTAAAGAAGAAGTCTTGAAAGCTGTAATTCATGCTAAACTTCTTAAAGCAGCAGGGATAGATGATATTCCAGCCGAGGTCATGAAAAATGACGCAGCAATTGATTTATTTTTTAAATCATAAGTGGATGCTTTAACCTAGGAAAGGTACCCTCTCAATGGAATAATGGAATAATGGAATTATTAATCTGATTCTTAAACCAGGAGCAGATGACGACAGACAACCTTTGAACTATTGTGGAATTACTCTGATTTCCGTTCAGTGCAACATGTATTGCTACTTATTGAATCAGCATTTAAGTGCTTGGCTTGATCAAAATATTTTATGCGATGAGCAAAATGGATTTAGAGGTAGGTGGTTGCAGCTGTGAGGAACATATACACTCACTTCACTCAGTATTAAATGACCGAAAAAATATCAAGGAAATCATCTTATGTGTGTTACGTTGACATGCGGAAGGCGTTCGACACCGTGGAACATTATTTATTGTGGTACAAGCTACAGAAGGATGGTGTATGAGGAAAATATTTAACCGTTCAATCACTGTACAATGATTTAAGATGTATAGTCCATGTAAATGACAACCTAACCCCATGATTTGAAGTGGAGGCTGGTGTGAAACAGGGCTGTATTTTGTCGCCTACACTTTTTTCTGTGTACTTAAATGATTTGACTGAACGTATAAACTCTCTAAACTGTGGCGTAATTATAGACGATTTCCAATTAAGTATTCTCCTGTATGGTTACGATATAGCGTTGATTGCACCAGATAAGAACAGTTTGCAAAGTATGCTAAATGTGGTGACAGATTGGTGTTCAGTGTGGAAATTGTCTATCAACATTAATAAGACTAAGGTTGTTCATTTTTTACCACAATCTTACAGTAAATCAGATTTTATGTTCCATTGCTCTGATAAAGTCATCGATTATAGTGACAGTTACAAGTACCTTGGAGTATGGATTGATGAACATTTGACTTTTTTGAAAAACGCAAAAGAACTGTCAAAGGCTGCTAGTCGTGCTAATCGTGCATTAGGAACGTTATTTGCAAAAGTAGTAGAGACAGGAGACGGGAGGTATGACGCTTAAAGTACCAAACTATACTCATCTACAGTAGAACCGATATTGATGCGGTGTTTGGGGCACAAAGAGTTTAGTTGAATCACTCCTGTCCAAAATAGAGGTTGTAAATACTTTCTCTCTGTAGGAAAGCATACATCAAATATTGCGACGAGAGGTGATATGGGATGGACAATTGGACATCATGTTTGACTAAACAATGCATACACTTTTATCGACTTTTGTGCAGTGTTTTACGTACTGATGAAACAAGAAAATCATATAAAATTTTGAAGTGGATTTCACGTCGAAGAAAAGGATGGACTTTCGAAGTTGAAATGACTATTAATCGGTTGTATGTTAGAGATACGTTTAATGACTTATCTATATCAACAAAATGTGCCATGCGATTGGTTAGCGATAAACTTGACAGATCTAACACATGAAATGGGAATAAGCTTCGGAAGTTGCGTATGTACAAAAGCTCTGTGAAAACTGAACCATACGTTAAGTTAAACATTTCTGGAATAGACGTTAAGTTAAACATTTCTAGAATTGACATTAAGTTAAACATTTCTAGAATGGAAAGACGAACTATGGCCCTTTTCTGCTCAGGCTCCCTTCCTCTTGCAATTGGAGTAGGGAAATACTCCAAGCAGCCTACGTCTACATGTATTGTGTGACTGTAGAGCCATTGTAAATGAAAAACATTTCCTAATGGAATGTCCTTTTTATAGGTATCTAAGATATGACTTGTTTAACGAATGTTTTAAACACATTACGAATTTTAACAATCTAAACATTAATAACAAATTTCCAAGTATTATGAATGGCATAGATATCCACTTTATTTTTGTAAAAGTCTACAAAAATTTTTTATCCATAGAAAATTATTTTTATAATGATCAACTTTTTATGCCTAATTTGAACAAATAATAGGGTATTAAATTTTTAAAAGGTTTATATTTTTAAATAGATAAATTTTTACTAATTTATTAGATTATGTGATTTTTATTATAAATAGGATACTTTGAAAATTTTTATCATTGGTGTGAAATGAGTATATGTTTTATATAACTTATTATTAGAGATTTATGCTCAGGATTATTCATTTGTGAAAAAGACGTATATTTTAAAAAAAATTTATTTTTACACTGTCTTAATTTGTAAATAGTTATTTGGTATAATATAGTGTCTTGTAAGTCAGATTTTTGGCTGGATATTGGTTGTTTTAATCGGAGAAACTTTTGACCCTGTCTCAAAGATGGTTCATTATATCTATATGATGTAGGATGCACTTGCATCATAGACAAAATCAAAGAAAACACAAGAAAAATTTTATGTTATATTTGTCACCTTCTTTGTATTTCAGTCACTATTATACCTCAATCAATCCAGGATAGGGGTATATGAGCCCAGATTAATGGACAGTTCTAGTTTTAACTGTCTCTGAATTAACAAATTATAAGTGTTAAATGAGAAGACTAAGCCATGCAAGATAGAATGACAATAGCATATTCATGTTTTTGAATTTTGGTTATCTGAATTAAATTTAATGAAGAATGGAAATAAAATTAAGAAAGAAAAAAGAAATGATAAAATGGAATCAATTATCCCTCCTCAAAAAAAAACTGATCCAGAAATTGTAGGAGCAAGTTCAAATAACAGCAAATGAATAAGGGTGAAGTAATGTTTGTCTAAACTAATTACAGTTTCAATACATATAAATATGAGAAGATGTGGTATGATTGCTAATGAGACAACCCTCTTCCAAAAACCATATGACATAAAAGTTAACAACTATAGGTCAGCAGACTGCTTTCAACAATGAACAAAATCCATACTGCATAGTAAGCTATAACAGACCCTTAAATGACAAACGTAAAACAATTCAAACGAGAAAACTAACAGCCTGATTTATGTACACAATAATAAACGAAAAACAAATTTGATATACAGAAACAAACTACAACCACTGAATTACAGGCTCCTGACTTTGGACAGACACAATACATGTATAGGATCTAACATAAGCAAAAATGTTTGTTTTCAACTATTGTGAGAAAGTCAATATTTCTACATGTTCTAGGAGAGCGCGTTTGAGTTTTTGGTGAAAAATATAGAATTCTACAATTAATAAAAAAATTTAATTCTGATCAGTTTCCCATATTTCCTCACAGAAGAAAAAAGAACAACATAAATTACCGGTATACAGTAATTATTTATTAATATATAATGTTAATAATAATAAATTTTCTGTTTCTAGAGTCTGGATTATGACATCGTTGAAAATGACCTGTTTGAGGAGATGCTTAAAAATAATACAAATAAGGTAACTTAATATTGGAGACTGGAAGACCAAGGTTTTACTACTTGAGAAAATACCAAAGTAAAAGAGATAAAACCAATTAGAGTTCTGAGAGATTTTAATAAAAATAGGGAAATAACCCTATGACTTACCAGCTGTATACACAAACTATTGTTGCTTTAAAATAGGGAAAAAAGTAAACTGAAAAGGAACAAGGTAAAGGAATAAACTCATCATAGACACCAGGCTTGTAATTTTGTATGCTGGACACACTTTTAGTCTTCTAAAGACTCGTCAGGGACAATGGAAATTAGAACGAGAAAAATAGAATAAGCAATCGAATAAAGACTATGTATTTATTTTATTTGTTTGGTTTTTAATTTGTTTTTGTTTATCTTATTTGATTATTTTGTTTTCGCATTTTATAATGATCCAATAATTCCTCAATACAATTCCTGTAACCACATCTGGTCTTCTCAAACAATCAACAAAGACATATTGTTTCTAGCAATGACGTCATAATAAAGGACGTCACTTTTAATAATAAAGATGAGTTTATTTTCTTTGAATGTAGCACTGTTCCAACAGTTTTATAGACATTAGTGTTACTTTATGATCAAGTGAGTCTCAAAGACTGTAAATGACTCTCCAAACCGGAAGAGGGCCAATATGGATTTTGCAAGTGATGGCAGATAAAGCTCTCTGATTTGAGAATAGATGGGAAACCCATATATGCCCCAGGCAGCAATATGAATTACCCAATTCAGCTTTAATTACATATTCAAAACTCAATGTTTTCGAAATACAAATATATGATAAAACATTTTATTTATTATTTAAATTGTAGGAAATAAACATGTATGAAACATGTATTGTAAAATACATGCAGATTAGTATTGTAAGCTATAAAGACTGTCTCTTGAAAGTCTCACTACTTGTCCCTGTCAGGTTCAAAATGAAAATTCTCTTCTACCAATGATTCTGAAGTAGTGCAAGCTATGAGTGTAAAACATTCCAAAAAGATTTCCAGATATGCTATAGTGTTATCGTAATTTTCCTTTTTATCTTTCTTTTAGGATTACATAAAAACTGAGTTTTTAAGATGGCTGATCATGGGTATGATAGGTATATTAACTGGACTGGTTGCCTGTTTTATAGATGTGTGTGTCATACAGACAACACAATTAAAGTTTGAATATATTAAAGATTGTATCCTTACAGACATATCTAACATATTTTATTTTTTATGAAAATAATAGATACAAGTATATAAAATTATTACTACAGGTTAAATTTAGTGCAGTGATTGATGTTATAATGTCCTTGATAGAAAATAACAGTTGTTCTAAACTTCAATACTCTCAAAGGTCAAAATGTTCAGAAATAGTGCTGACATCTAAAGGGAAATTACATGTATAAAGAGTCAATAGAAAAAACGCTGTAAAAGTTTTATATGTATAACTGGCTTAACACACCAGGTTTTATGCCATATTAAGCATTTAGATAACTGTTGAATGAGTCATTATAGTATTCCATGGCTTGCAATAATGCTGCTTTTGTAGGGCTTATGCAATTTGATCTTATTTTCTTAACCTGAATAAAGTTCTCTATACTATAGTGTGACAGCCTTGATTGCAAAGTGTTGTGGTTTCAATCCCCAGTTAGGTCAAACAAGACTTGAAAAGTGATATTTGATGTGTCTCTGCTAAGTATGTGGCATTTAGGAGTAAGAGCAAAGTCTGGTTGGTTCAGACTCTTATCATCAGAATTAAGTTAGAAGTAGGGTGACATATCTTCCTGTGGACTGTTACCTTGTGAATTACCATGTTTAAAAATCAACTCAATGTGTTGGTTAAGTACAAAGCAGGGTTTATATTGAATATATTCATACCATGATAAATTGTTCTGGTCCTGTTTAGCATGTAATCCTACACTAACTTTATCTGATAATGTATTCTGCACATTTACCCAAATCTTCCTTTACCTTATAGACTACCCACATCTTAATAGGATCTTACAAGACTTAGTTAAGTTAATTTGTAGATAAGTGATCATAAGGTAGTTCTGTATCATCACACAAAAATGAAATATTTCCAAGATACATTGAGGTAATAACTTTATAAATGGAATACCCAAAAATTACTTTGACATCTTCACATTCATAAAATTTCCTTAATTTGAACTAAGACATAGCTACTTGTTTAGAATCATTCTGTTTAGAGGTACCTTTGCTGATTTGGATATGTTGTAATGCATTTCTTATATTGATTGGTTCCTTCCTGACTGCCAAATTTGCTGTAAGTAGCTTACAAATCATTATAAAAGTAAACCTAGTGTTCGCAAACACCAAAGTCATACTGTACTGTTATAAAAGATCATAAAGTTACAAACACTATAGTAAAACTAGAATTATTTCAAGGACAAATATCAAGGTTTAACAGTAAATCTGAAGGTTTAGCAGTGAATCTAAATCATTTCTAGGACAAATATCAATGTTTCTTTATATTGTTAATAGACTCGAGGAAGTCAGTTATGTAGCCAACTGACTGTTTACAAAGACAGCTGTACTTAAACCTATGATTACATTGCTGCTTCAAATTGAAGCTGAAAGCAAAATTAAATTGGTTTGTTGCAAGAAAACAATTTTACTTTAGAAGAATGTTAATTAAAAATGGTTCCCAAAATTATAAATTGTTGGCTGTAAATTAAGAGATAATTTATGGCAGCCTTAGATTTGTTTTCATTTAACCATGTGTTGGGAATTTATATTCAATTATTTTATCCTGAGTGATAGCTACGGCTGCCATGAATTATTTCGATTCTTATACGACAAATACAGTAATTTTGTCAACCGTGAAAGCTCTATACCCACCATACTGTTTTAGCAGTTCTGTTTTCCCCATATAATAATATTAATAATACTATATTATTTAATAATAAATAAAAAAACTCACATTTTACACCTAAAAATGTTCTTGTTATCTAATTTTATTACATTCTTAAGTGTACAAGAAACCTGAAAACGCCCGGTGTTAAGATTTGACACCAGAAGCATATATATGACGTCACCTTGTTTAGTTTCCTTAAGGCAATAGCATCATTGCGCGGAATTTTCTTTTTATGACATTTTACAGCAAAATAATAACTGAAATGGACTGATTTTTGTATATTTTTTTTGCATTAGAATAGAGATAACCAATTGTATTTGAAGCTTGGTCTAAGTAAAACATGGGTTTTACTGTCACATATTAAGTTTACCTGGTCGTATAAATGAGGTTGGCGTAACGCAGAACAGCCAATTTTGTGTTATAATGCGTTTGCGCTAAAGGTAGATATACTATGATTATACTGGTAGACGATATATAGATCGTCATATTAAAATCCATTGCAATTTTTTTCACCAATTTAAATGAATTTTGAAAATTAAGGCTCAGCCAGTTTAAAAAATGATTTATATTTATTTGTTTATAGCCGGTGGCCTCTGGTAGTGGAATCCCACAGATAAAATGTTTCTTGAATGGTGTAAAAGTTCCACATGTGGTCAGACTGAAGACAATTGTTATTAAAATTGTAGGAGTAATATGTGCCGTGTCTGGTGGACTCATTGTAGGAAAGGTCAGTATTTATATTTCAGAGTTAATTAAAAAAGATTATAATATAGAAGTACAAAGAATAGATGTAAATTATACAAACATGCACACAGTATATATCTAGAAAAATTTAACTAATCTGCACCATAAATAATTCTCATATGATTCTTGAAAGGATCACTACTTTTGAAAATAAATAAATACCCTATGTTCTACTTCACTATGCTCATACGTACATAGTCTTAATAATGTGTAAATAAAAGAAAAAGAAATGTTGCGAAAAAAATCGCACTGATCAGTTTAATAATAAATGATGAAAATATGTAAACTGTAAAGCATGGTCTCCAAAACTAATAAATGGTCGGAGGTCTACATATATAAAAATCTTCAATTTGAAAAAGATAATTCTAGGAATTCACACATTATGAATGCATGTCGATTCTGATCAGTGAATTTTTCTCAACAAAGAATGTTGCAAAAATCAAAGAATTTATATGCAAGAAAACCGAATTACTCATTGTGCATGCAATTTATTCGCCACAATAAAAAAATGAATGTATGTTCTACTTCACTATGCCCATATAAACATAAAAATTGTCTTAATAATGTGTAAATAAAACAAAAAGAAAAGAGGCATGAGAAATTGCACTGATCAGTAAGGACATAAACAAAGGAAGGAAGGATCTTTCTAAATCTACAAAATTATAATGACAATTTTTAACGGTTAGCTTATGCTTATCAATAGACTGAAATAAGACAAGCTTTAAAGATGAATTTGTCGCTTCCAAAGGGAAAACTTGCAACACGAACATACTTTTGAAGCATAAAAACTGGACAAAGATCTGTGTTTGTTCTAGAAATTAATGTAATGTTACCCTGTAGATATCTACCGTCTTACTTTGTTGATTTGTAGATAAGAATCTGGGAAAGTTAAATCAGAAGGCTGAATGTGTGCTAACTCATTGTATCTTAAAAAACCTACAAAACCTATCGGAATCATAGTACAAATCCTGAACCCTGGTAAATTGTTGTTTTTGTTGCATTTGGCAAATTATGATACTCTAAAATCGTAGGAGTAATGTGTTCTTTTTCTATTCAAAGGCCTAGATTACAATCTTTTGCCACCTTCTAGTACCATATCTAGTAATTGTCATTTAACATGCTGCGTTATGAATTGAGATTTTGCTCCCACTTGATTGAATAAAATACTGTGCTTGAAACGGAAGCAGAAACTCCAGACTGAATAATATACGGGGGTAGTTAAGATACATAGTAACAGTACAAACGGAGGTAGGCAAAAACGGTAAATTGTACTTTAAGCACCAATATTTGAATCTTTTCAAGTATCTGTTACATTTCTTGACAGTATTTTGCTTTTTGAAGCACAAACTACTGAAGAAAATGAAAATGTTAGAGCCTTCAAGTCAGGATTTGAAAATTGCTTCAAGGATTCCTAAGGTGAATGTTTGAATCTAACTGAAAAATAAATTTAAATAAAATTAATTATATAGCCAATGAATTAAATCAGAGAAAAATAAAAGACCACTAGAAATCTGATAGCAAACAGGATATATCTTTCAAAAAAATGACAGTAATCACGATAAAATAAAATCTCCAGTTTGATATATACTAAACAAAACTTAATATATTTAAATAATAATAAAAACAAAATCCAACTAAATCATAAGTGTGAGAGGGCCCAAATAAGACTTGTGGTTGTAAAATACATCAAAAACATAACCAAACATAACAGTGCCCATCTGTCATGTGTACAAAAGAACCCAAACAGGACTTCCCCTGCAAAATGTTGATGAATTGTTCATGAATGATAATGAATGAGTCATGAACATAATTCATGAATCATTCATAAAAGATGCTTGAACTGTTAATGATCAATTCAGGAATAGCAAATAGACAAGACTGATCATGAGCTAGTGAATGATGAATTATTCATGAACAAAACTCTTTTGTTCATAAAAATTCATGAACTATTTGGCATATATAAATAGGATTTAAACATTTAATGCCATAAAAGATGTCTGAATTTCTTCTAATATGACATTATTACCATTCAGGCAATAACAAAATCAAAATTATGGGTAAGATATTTGTTGATTGTAAAACATTTAGCCTGGCAACTTCAATACAACTTTTGAACCCTGAATATTCATGGTTGAACATGTCTCAAACAGTAAACTAAACCCATAAAGTGAATTCTTAAACTTAATGTGTCAGACAACTTGTTCTGCATATAACACTGTACAGTTATCCAGACAGATCTGAACAAATGTAGTTTCTCCCTGCAAGAACAAAACAAAAAAACATTCCACAAAGAATCAATAGTTCCTGATACGTTGTAAAAGTAAACAGATTTTAAAAATTGATAAATTTTATTTATGGTATCAAACATAGTATCTTGTTTCTCTCCATCAAGGCTTGGATACACTTTTCCAAATACTGAATTGCTATTGCCGGAGAGTCTTTATCAAAAAAAAATTAAGGGTTTTTTTAGACCTTCAATTTGTTCCCCGTTGAAATTAGATTGTCTTTCATTAGCGTTGTACCTTAATTTAAGAGTCTGTTTTACCAGAGGAATATTTTCAGCTTCTTTAGCTTCGGTTCTTGTGTTTATCTCCTTGAGAGCTCTTCCTTATGCCTTTTTAATGTCAAATATAGGCTCTGGCTGAACAGCACTAATACTTCCTCAGGTGAAAAATCGAGTAGACCCTTTATGTTCTTCACTGCTTTCAATTCATATAGGTGATTCTTGTTCACTCATTTTTACAAATGTGTTGATTCTGATCAGTGAATTTTTCTAGATGAAAGAATGGCTCGAAAAATTGAAAATTGATAGATTTATATGTGAGAAATCCAAATTACTCAAGGCGTATGAAAATATTTATACACCACATTCCTTAAGCAATTTCTTGATAGTTATATTACTTGTTTCATATACAAATCTCTTATGTAAGATACAAACATAGATAGTTGAAAGTATGTACAATATTTAAACACTTATTAGTGTAAAGTTTTGCAATGTTTTTATTATTGGGAAGAATTTTAGGGGATAGGTTTCAAAATACTAAAAACTCACATTTTAAGATTTAAAAGCATTATTTGTAGCAGCATTTTCTGAAATCGCAAAAATAAATCTACCGGTGTTGTCAATTGCAGTAATAAATGCACACACAAATTTCTGAATTTACAGTAATTACAAAATATTTTTCACATTGTTTGTTTATTTTATTTTATGTTTTCATATTTTTACAGGAAGGACCAATGATTCATTCTGGAGCAGTGATAGCTGCTGGTATTTCTCAGGGCAAATCCAGTACATTCCTCTTTGATTTTAAGGTTTGAAATTTTTGGGTGTATTTTACATGATGCAGAACTAAAAAGTGTTAAACTTCAATCCATTGGGTTGTTTCAGAGCAGTCATAAACTAAAAAAGGTTGTTGTAGGTTGATGAAAAATGAACATATCCCACAAACAATTTTTATCTCTCATCAGTGTCTAGAATTTATTTTCTTTTATACCTTACATTGGTCCCCCAAATTAAGTGCTGTATATTACACAACACAAGAATATTTAAAAAAGCTTTAATTTAATTTAAAATGGAATCAGTGATTTTTTTGTAGTCTTTACCATCTTCTCTTACTGTGTACAGTTTCTCTATATATTATAGTTTTCAAGATAATTGCAAAAGGGACTAAAATCATCATTTAGCGGCAGAAACTCCTTTGACAAGTCAATCCTCAAACCCATCTATGCTCCCCTATTTGGTTGATGTTGCCTTGCTGCTAATTTGTCCAGCTAACAGTTTCTCTGTATCTAATAAAGTTCTTAAATGGGCATTAGCTGCCATTAAGACAAGAAATTAAAATATGATGTTTTTTGTTTTCAAACAGTTATAAAAGCGGAATAATGAAATAATATTTCACTATTAGCAGTGAGTTTGGTTCAATTTGATGAGACTAAGATCGAAAACATCAGAAACGTTTTATTTACTTGCAAGTCAATGATTCAAGCTCAGTTGAACCTGTATTCATGTAACTCTAACTTGACCTTTAGCTGAAGATGGGTTATGCATGCCCTAAGCGTGTTTAGTTATTGAAAAGAAAAGAATGTCAGCATTGAAAAGTCAAACAAGGGAACCACTATAAAAAAAGATTTCTTTGATAAATTTGGTCCACCAGAAATCATTCATATCCAGGTAAAACCATGATTTACTTTTTTTAAATCTATGACATAAAATCAAACAAATCTAGAAAAATTGTAATTATACAACTCCACGTGCTTCTCAGTCTATTTACATTTTTGCTTATGTTTATATCGGGTTGAATGACTATCTGCAGTCTTCGGAGGTAATCTCGATTGTTAATTTGATTTCACTAAACAGATTTTTTATTTTTCCTATTCTGTCATACACAAATATACTAAGCTTAAACATTTACATTTCAGATATTTGAAATGTTTAGATCTGACCATGAAAAGAGAGATTTTGTGTCAGGGGGTGCTGCGGCAGGTGTATCTGCTGCCTTTGGAGCTCCAGTTGGAGGTGTTTTGTTTAGCTTGGAGGAAGGGGCCAGTTTCTGGAATCAAGCTTTGACCTGGAGAATTGTATGTTTGAGCACTTGAATTATAAGTTACCTTATAAATTATGGAAAAAGAACACAAAATATAATTTAGACAATCTTTATTTTAGTTATATACCTAGACATTACTGAGGTTTATTGAAAATAATGATATAGGATAAGTATATAAAAAAGTATCACCAAAAAAAAACTCAAAGACACACAATCCTTATACACACTTGACAAAACCCAAATCAAAGGAATATCACTTCTATTGCTCTTCTTTGTCTCAAAGTCAATCCAAAAATTAGCAATTTTTAATGTACATTTTACTACTATTTACCGTCAAATCCACAGTTGACATGTCTTAACTAAGGAGTGACCAACCATGTTGACTTGCTGAAACCAATAAATGTGTGAATATTGCAATAGAAAAGAAAATGAAATAAAACCTTTCTTAGAACTCCATTTTAAATAGATATGTGAACTAGTACACATTTTTGTTTAGGGGCCAGCTGAAGCCCGCCTCCGGGTACAGGATTTTCTAGCTGTGTTGAAGACCCATTGGTGGCCTTGGGCTGTTTTCTGCTCTTTGTTCGGGTTGTTGTCTCTTTGACACATTCCCCATTTCCATTCTCAATTTTATTATCCAAAACTAGAATCTTTCAAGTAGCAGAATAACCTTCAGCTTGAGAGTTTTTAGTAGTTTGACTAAAATTAAATTCTGCGAAATTCCATGAATTATCTTGGGGCATTTTAAACATGACATTAATGCGCCAAGATTATTCAAGGAATTCTGTAGAATTTTATTTTATTGTTACTTTAAACATTTTTTCAAGCTCTAATGTATCCATTCTTTATGTTATGGATTAAAATAGGAATAATAGTTCTGTAGGTTTTAAAACAGCAAAATTGACACATGTGATTGCACATAGGTTATGATGCTAGTTGATTGTCGAGGAGGATAAACTGTAACAGCCATTAATATGTACATCTTTGAGTCTGTGCTAAGTATAGATATATCAAAAATTTTATTTGCCAATTCCTTAATTGACCCAGTAATTAAAATTCCATTTGAACAAGTTATTTTTCTTAGGAAGGACATAAAATTTCATTGACATTGAAGAGCTAGCGCAAAAAGCAAGTTTATCTGTGTGTAATGTGTGTAATCTTTTAAGTTTTTGATTTAAAATATTTTAATTATACTTTATCTTTTAAGCTTACAAGTTTTGATGTAAATGGTTATTATGCCCCCACCGTAGCAGAGGGGGCATTAAGTTTTACCCCTGTACGTCCGTACGTCCCTCCGTCAGTACATCCCAAAATTGGTTTCCGTTCTCTAACTTTAGTTTGCCTCAACCAAATGTTATGAAACTTATACACAATGCTTATTACCACAAAACACAAATCATGTTTGAATTTTGGTGGCGACACTTTTTGCGTTCTAAAGTTATGCCCCTTTACAAATGGAAAAATTGCTAAATTTTTCGTTTCCGTTCTCTTAACTTAAGTTTGCCTCAACTAAATGTTTGGGGCAAAAAACAAGCATTTTTCTAGTTTCAGGACAATAACTTTTGTGTAAGTGTATGGATCTTTATGAAATTGTACTACAAGGTTCCATATCACAAAAGGAAAGCTGGGTTTGAGTTTGGGGGTAATTGCCCTAAACGTTTGGGAATTTGGGGCCAAAAAGGGGCCTTAAAACAAGCATTTTTCTAGTTTCCAGACAATAACTTGTGTTCAAGTGTATGGATCTCTTTGAAATTGTACTGCAAGGTACCATACCACAAAGGAAAGGCTGGGATTGAGTTTGGGGGTGATGAATCATAAGGGGGTTCAAAAAATTTAGGGGAGGGATTTTTTTTTTCCTTAAAATTTTCACATTTTAAATTGGTTATTTCTGATTTATATATAAAAGCAAATAATAATGATATGGTTTGAATAGGTAAATTAAAAAATTTTAAGTTCTTAGACCACATTCATTCTGTGTCAGAAACCTATGATGTGTCAAATATTTAATCACAATCAAAATTCAGTGCTGTATCAAGCTTGAATGTTGTGTCCATACTTGCCCCAACTGTTCAGGGTTCGACCTCTGCTGTCGTATCAAGCTGCGCCCAGCGGAGCATTTTATTAAATTGTGTAATAACAGAATAAAATTTGTAATTGGTAAATAGACGATTGAAGGAAACAACCTACAAAATGATGAATATTAATATATTTTCAGTTTTTTGCTTCCATGTTGTCAACATTTACATTAAACGTTGTACAGAGTTTTGTGAAGGGACATCCATTAGACCTGTCTTCTCCTGGTCTCTTCAATTTTGGAAAATTTGAGGTGAGTTCAGTAGCCATCAGATTCAGTATAAACTTTCTATTAATCAAAGCTTCATGTAGTGTACCACCAAAATGTTGTTGTCAAATTAGTACTTTATTTTTTATTAATCAATTTACACACAAAATTTGATTTTGACGTCCAGGAAACCCTGACTCTGACACATGGTTAGTTTAATTCTCAGATTTCAAAAAGGATATGGTACTTTTCAGTTAAAAGGGCACTAAAGTATGTAATTGCCACTAGAAAGACCACACAACCATGAAATTGGCCTATAGAATGACATTTACACCTGAAACAGCTTGAAGAAGAAACAAAACTATAGCTTATATACATACCGGTAATGAAGACCTACAAATGTCTGTAGACCACTATTTCCAAAATGATTCTTTATGCAGGCCTTGTCTGCCAAATTTCATGAATGTCTGCCTGAAATCTGGTTTCAAACAAGTCACTAAATGTAACATATACACAAGTGTGTAGTTATGCACCAATACTAAACCTTAATAATCCTTTTTAAAGCTTTCCAAATAAAAAAAAAAGTTGTATATGTTATCTTTGTCTCAAGTTACATGAAGAATGTGAAAAGAACAAATTAATTTTTAGGATGCTTGACAAAAATGTTCATGAATATTATTGAAAAGATCATGTGGTGGTCCCTTTGTAAAAAAATTTGAGCATGATGACTAAAGACAGAAATTTACAAATGATATAATTCTTATATGATTTGCATATCTACAAATAATCTAATTAGATTGGCGCATTCAATTTTTTTCCTTGGTTTACACTTTGATAAACAATGTTGTCTTTTGTAATCTATGTAAACACTATGTCAATTTAACTGTGATATATTCATGCATGATATGGAATGAATGGAATTCATGGGTTCCAAAAAGGTTGAAAGAAAAAATAGTCAAATGTTAGGTTGAGAAATATAAGGATTAAACACCAATTTTTTGAGGTTATTGATGTGTAATCTGGGCCACTGACTCACAAACTGAACTGATATAAAAATAAGGAGATGTGTTTATGATTGCCAATCAGACAACTATCCACTACAGTTCAAATGAAGTGGATGTAAGCAATTATAAGCAACCACACAGCCTTCAACAATGAGAAAAACCCATACTGTATAGTCGTCTATAAAAGGCCCCAACATGAAAAATATGAAACAGTTCAATTGAGAAAACTTATATTCATTTTGTGAGTTAATCGGCCCAGTAACATATTGATAACCCTGAGAAAAATGTGTTAAATACTGCATTAAATAAAAAATAGTTTGTAGCAGTTTTACTTCCTTGAATTAATTTTTTTCTCCTTTCACATCATTTTATATTTAAAATAGTTGTATACCAGTAGAAATGTCACTTTTTATAAAATTGTTATTTCTTTGAATATGACAGATACTTTTTTTCATTTATTAGTAAGTATATTAGTTTGTACTAATAATAATGAATTGGAGTGCATAACACATTGATGTATTTACATCTGTGTATATATAATTACTGATTTATGTCATTTTGAAAGTTGGTAAAAAAGAAACTATTGTGTGTGTTTTAGTCTATGTTTTATAATGTGTTGTAAAATTGGTGTGCCATAAAATTCAGAGATACAAGTTTTTAAATTTAAATATTAAATGAAAAAACTATTCTGGATCTAAAGGTAATTTTTGAAGGTCAATAAATTTAGTGAAAAATCAGTAGCTTTTATGTATTTTGAATTTATGTTACATTTACTGTTTTTTAATGTCCGTTCAACACATATTCTATAAACATTTGTTTGAAAAAGAGGGAAGAGGGACTCAAAACCACATGCGATGCAAATCTAATTAGAACTTTAAGAATTTGCTCTCTGAAATTTATTTGAATCACCACTGCTTCTTCATACTGGTGATTAATTTTAAGAACCTTCCAAGTTTTTCTACATTTATCATTGAATAAATGATTCATTTTTTTTGGTTATATGTAAAAAGGCAACATTATAGTTTTGTTTTTCGTTTTATTATATATATGTATATATATAAGTGCCTATAAATAGCAGCACATGACATACAAATCTATGGGAGTGTGGATTAATCAGTACAGAGAACCTGATGGTCTTAACGAAAAAGATGAGAAAAGATACAGGAAAGATAAAGAATAATTTAGTACACAGCATCGTCCTTTTTATCCTGTAATATTGGCCAATGGACGTTGCTAACTTCAACTACCAATTTTGTAAAAATCTTGAACTTCATCCAAATTATGTATTAGTTTCAAGGCAGATAAATTCAAGTGCAACATATACATTGAGCTGCAAAAGTTTCTTATCATCTACATCCGATTTCACCTGGATAGATGCACGCTTGATAAAGCTAGTTAGTCTAGCGAAATATTGCATTTATTTTCATCATTTTGTAAATATTTTAAACATTCTTATATTTACATACTAAATAGTGTGTTAAAATTACATTGTTAGGCAATCTATGTATATATATATATATATATATTGTGTTCTGGTAACAAATGAAGGGTCTGAAATATAATTTTTGTAGCTAAAGATGTGTTATATATAATTTACCTTTAAGTAAGTAACCTTCTTTTGGAGGTTCAGTGATAAGAGTAATTATTCTATTTTTAATTATTTGTAGACAACAACCTATGGAGGATTAGAAATACCAATATTTATTTTAATGGGTATTGTAGGTGAGTTTATAATTTCTTTATATAATGGCTAATCCAAGAATTCAAATATAGAAAAATGTTCAACGAGTGACAGAACAACACATCAATTCACATTGCATGTAGTGCTTGAGTTAATAATCAGTACTGTTCGGTCACGAGTTGAATATTTTTATTTATTCCATATTGATGAAATTTCAGTAGGTTTTTCTTTATGAATGGGATTTTGAATAAATAAGCATATTCACCTGGGGAAAAGTATATTCACCGCGCAAAACGTCGCATGCTTTTACCTGTATAATAACGATACAATGTTTGACGTTTAGTTGGTTTTGGTAAATCACTGTTATTTTATACATATTTTTCTCTCCCGGAACATGGAATAAAACAATTACTGTCTTTTGTTTTGGTAAATATGTGGTTTAATTGACTTTTGAAAAACCTAGTGATATTCACTTCGGCCGTTGGCCTCAGTTAATATCAGTTTTTCAAAAGTCAATAAACCACACATTTACCTCATCAAAAGACAGTAATTGTATAATATTTTAATTCTTGGATTAGTTATTCTTTTTATTACATTGGCCATGGACTTTTGAATGCAAATAAAGAAGAAAATAAAAGGAAACATATCTTTTTCTACGCATTCTCAGTTGTTTGGATGCAACGTCATCTACAACGTCTTGACATCAGAGGAGTGAAATTATCGGATTTATTTATTTATCACATTAATTCATTGCAACCTATATAATAAATGAATATAACATTAAAGTATAAAAAAAGATGTAGTTGCAGAATAGTTTTGATAAAAATATTCTCATATTTGCTGAATATTTTGCATACAATGTTTTATCATCAAACTGGATCCATCCATCCTGGAACTGACAAGATCATTGTGTACGTTTAACATTTTTCATGTATCGGTCTGTAATCTTATTTATGTACATAATTCAACCGTACAAAATATATATTATTTTTCTCATTTATCCCATTTATCCCATTATGGAAATTATCCCCATACAGATATTCATCATTTTGGTCAACATACTTTCCTAGATTTTATGCCCAACAAACATCATCTAAAACCAAATGCTTCAATGGAATGATGATGCTTGGAATCAAGCATATTGATCAATATCACTTCAACCTATGGCTGATAGGTCTTGACTTGCTCTGACCATTTGCAAAATGGAGAGATTCTGATCTCCTTGTTTGTGATACAGTTTGTGAGTTATTCAATGAATATCAGCAGTTTAAGATGGGTGCTCTAGTTTCTCCAACAATAAAGTATATGCTAGAAAATTTTTCTTTCTGAATCTATAGAATTGTGAGTTATTTCATAGCCTATCAAATAAAATAAGGCTATCCATTGAGTTGATACTAATTGTTTTGGATTTTGTTAACAAACAACAATGTTTTGAAAATATTACATATAGGACAATGAATTGTATGAATGATAGAAAGTGATGTTAAACCCTATCAAACAAACACAAGTCATGTGATAACTATGAATTACTCTGATTATCTGATCGCTCAGTACTACAAATGTATTATAAATGGCAGTTATTGTTTTTTAGGTGGACTTCTTGGTGCTTTATTTAACCATATTAACTGCAAACTGACCATTTTTAGAAGAAAGTAAGTATAAGGGTATGCTGTAAATATTTCTGTACCTTTGACTTTACCCAAAACTTCTGATTTTTTTATATATATATATATATATATATCAGTTTTCTTGAAGAAGTGGTATTTTTACCAGGCTGAATTGTTATTGAAGCAAACTTAAATACGATACATATCGAGTAAAAGTAAGTTGGCTTATAAGTCGGTTGACCTTTTTAGTTTCAAAATTTAGGGATTCAGTCATGACCCTCATATAAGAAGTTTATTTTTGGCATTTGTCCAAGTGTGTGTGTTTTCAGTACAGCAAGCAGATACTGATCGTTGGTTAATCACATGACAAGCAATGAAATTATAACAAGTTTGTGCGTCATGCATGCAAATATTTAAAATGAAATTATGAATGATGCATTTTGATTTTCATCATAATATAGTTTGCTCTACTCTTAAATGATGCTATCACTGTTCTTAACAATAAAGATATACTTCTCTTCTTTCCCATTTTATTTTATGTTTAATTTGCCTTGTGGTGTTGTTAACGTAATACATCAATGATTTTGTAGAGTATGACTGAATCCCATATCTACTATAAATTAAAATATAAACCATCACTAACCAAAATATTTTACAAATAACTTCAGTTGATTTACAAGTAAACTTCATGGAACTTTCTTATTGTGATGAAATCATTGAATGCTAATTATATAGTTCATGATCATAAACAACACTTTACAGTCTACTTTACACCTATTACTAATAAATTTACTTTACACCTATTACTAATAAATTTACTTTACACCTATTACTAATAAATTTACTTTACACCTATTACTAATATATTTACTTTACATCTATTACTAATAAATTTACTTTACACCTATTACTAATAAATTTACTTTACACCTATTACTAATAAATTTCACAACTTAATTGATAACAACGATTTGTCACTTGATTAGGGGTATTCAATGGATGATTTGGGGTTGTCAGTTATAAACAATAAATTTCTTTACCTGACCCATTTTGATCACCACTGTACTTATTATTTTGGTTAAGCATAATTCATCTTGCAATTAGTTTGTTTTTGTCTAGCTTCAATGAAATTCGAAAAAAGTGAGAGTTTTGAGTGCTGTTTCTGACAGCAGCAGTGTCAGCAATGTATTAGTTTGTGATAAGGTCAGTTTATGGGGAACCACTAGTAGTAGGTCAATTATATTTGGTATGTAGCTGTAATAGCATTGGGACATCTCATTTCCATGGAAATTTTTTTGCTCTGCCCCTCAGTGCCTTTGAAACTTTTGCTTAGTTAACATGTACATGTATTAGTTTGTGATTAGGTCAGATAGAGGATAACCACTACTGGTAGGTCATTGATATTTGGTTTGCAGATTTATTAGCATTGGCACATCTCATTTCCATATGAATTGATTCGCTCTGCCTCCTTACTCATGGTCTATTGACTGAATATTTTGCATAGTATACATGTTGAAGTTTGTGATCAGATCAGTTTAAGATGAACCATAAATGTGAAGTCAATGATATATGGTATCCAGTCGTAAAAGAATTTGCAAGTTTCATTTCCTTAAAGATTATTTGAACTCAATCCTCATCATGATTTATTGACTTTGAAACTTTTGCATTGTTTACAAGTTAAAAGTTTGTGTATAGGTTATTATAAAGGGAACCACTTATGATAAGTAAATGGTATTTGGTATACAGATTCATAAGCATTGGCATTTCTCTTTTCCGTGGAGGTTATTTTGCCTTGCACCTTCAGTCATGATTCATTGACTTTGAATAGTTTACACCTCTAAATATTTCGATTTTAATTTCAGCATTTGCATTATACTTTCAAAATTACAAAAAAGTGAGACATATATCTATGTGTCAACAGTTTATTATTATGTTATGATGCCCCTACGACAAAATGTCGAGGGGCATATTAATTTACCCCTGTCCGTCCATCTGTCCATTCGTCCGTCCTTCCGTCCAGATTAGGATACATTGTTTGTCCGGCTATCTCCTCCTACAGTTTTTGAAGGTACAACTTTAATATTTTGTAGGATGTTCATACACATAATGGAGGGGTGCATGGCCACAGGATTTTGATTTCTTTTAAATATTCTGAAAATGATAGGTAGCTGGACTTAGTCATTTTTTTGGTACAAGCTACAAAAAGAGATCATGGTTTGTCCGGCTATCCCCTCCTACAGTTTTGGAGATACAGCTTTAATATTTTGTAGGATGTTCAAACACATAATGGAGGTGTGCATGGCCACAGGATTTTGATTTTTTTTTCAAATTTTCTGAAAATGAAAGGTACCGGTAGTTGGACATTTTTTTGGTCAGGGGGGGCATCATTTGTGTCTTACAGGCAGGATAACAATTTCAAGTTGTATGCCAACATCACTGTTTGTCAAATATTAAATATGTGGAACTATACTCATGCATATGGCAGAGCAGAAAAAGGGGGGGGGGGGGCATTGTCCATATCTAGTTTATTTAATAAGCTTTTAAACAGTTAAGATTGTAAAAATCTATAATTGCACAGATTAATTCACATATATATAGACACTTTACTATATTTGGTACAGTGTTATCCCTTTTCAATTTTAGCTTGCATGGCCCAAATTTCCCAATGAGCTTTTCTCTTCACTTGGTGTCCATCATCAGTTGTTGTGGTCAGTTAACTTTTACAAAAAAACACTCCACAGAAACTATTGGGCCAAATTTAATCAAACTTGGCCACAATCTTCCATTGGATATCTAGTTTTAAAAAAATGTGTCTGATGACCAAGCCTTCCAACCAACATGGTTAAAAAAAGAACATGTGAAATGCAAGTTTTGTTTATTATTTTGAAAACTGCTTTAGATAGAGAAAACCCAAACAAGCAGAAATGTTCAGAATGTTGAGATCTACCTGCTGTCCATTTACATCAAAAGTGTCAGACAACATATTATATGAGTTATTGCCCTTTAGTGACGATTTTGCAAAAAAAAAAATTTTTGCCTATTATCTTAAAAAATTATAATAAATAGAGAGAAACTAAATACAGCAAAAAGATCAGCAATACAAGATTAACAATAGCAAAAATATAAAAATATATAATATATAATAATGATAAGCAAGATAAGATGTACAAGTAAGTCAACATGGCTTCAATCATAAGTCAACTCCTTATTGCTCTTTAATCTTTACCCATTTTTGTGTTTTGAGCAAAAATTATAGAAGATAGTGAGAAAACTGTAAACAGAAAAAAATAAAATTTTGGTCTAATTATATTCTAGTGTACAATGTTGGAGAATGTCCATTGTTGAAGATGTACAATTGCATATAGACCTAGGTCTAAAGAGCCTCTAGTTTGGTTTTTTTGTTCATCTTCGGAAGTACACACAAACCTTGTGTCCATGAAATAATCCATACACAAAATGAAATCAATGGGAAATCCAATACAAAGTGATAGAAACTGGCTCACAGAGAACAAACAAAGCACCAAGTCAGCACTGCATTTTCTTATTTTCAATGAAAACTATTTATTCAGAGAATTATGTAGGTTTGGCTAAATAACTTCCACCACTGTAGTTTTTTAACTGGAAATTTGATTTCAGACCACCTTTCTCTGGCTTGGATTTTTCCTCCAGTTGCTAGATCTAGCTTATAAGTGGGTACTTTCCCTTTCTGGATCACATATTCCCGAATTATTTTTGAGTATGTACAGGTAATTACATTTGAAAAATTTACATTAAAAAAGCAGTAAATAAAGAGCTGTTTAATGGATAAATGTCAATGATATATCAACCTACAACAACATAAAATCAAAAGACATCCAGAGGTCAGCCTAAGGACTTCACCAGTAGACAAGTGTCTATTTAATATGTTTCCATGGTCATCCTAAGGACTTTATCAGAAGACAAATGTCTATCTAATATGTTTAGCTGTAATTAACCCAGATAAAAATGGTTAACTAAAAAAAATTGTTTAATTTGTAGATATATAACCAAGGTTTACTTGCAAGTTTTAGAAGCAGTTATAGTTGCTCTTTGTACAGGAACAGCTTTCTATGTCTGCTTATATTTTGATAATGACTGCCAGGTCATGGAGAGTTCAGAATCACAAGAGAATGGAATTCAGGTTTGTTAACTCCTCGATGCTTATTTATCAATTTTGTGAAGAGGGACTTATTAATCTCACTACAATTTGCAAGTTGTTTTGACTAGTGTGAGAAGGGAATGTTGCAAATTCAGGGAAAATGTAGCACTAAAAGTGTTCATATTTTTAAATTTTAATTTTCCCTTATATAGATGTAAAATATATGTGTATTTATTGAAAAAATATTTTTGTCATAATAATTCTGTTAAGTGTGAAAATAAAGGGAAGTCAATACAGTTTCTCATTCTTTTGTCAATTTTATGATATTGAGATATGAATAAGCTCAAGATGTGGTTAATTATATAATAAAACATAGCTTACCATATATACATCTAGAGGACAACATACAGTCTTCAACAATAGACAGACAATATGTCAAGCTCTAATATTTGTCTTGGGTCTTTTGAAAATAGTAAAAATAAAATAAACTGAAAAATCAAAGATCTGCCATCAGCCCCTAATTCTCCAAATCATAAAATACATGACATATTACTATTACTGACTGTACCCAATATTGTGGGTCACAAAATACATTAAGATATGACATAAAACTATTACTGACTGTACCCAATATTGTGGGTCAAAAAATACACTAAGATATGACATAAAACTATTACTGACTGTACCCAATATTGTGGGTCACAAAATACATTAAGATATGACATAAAACTATTACTTACTGTACCCAATATTGTGGGTCACAAAATACATAAAGATATGACATAAAACTATTACTGACTGTACCCAATATTGTGGGTCACAAAATACATTAAGATATGACATAAAACTATTACTGACTGTACCCAATATTGTGGGTCACAAAATACATTAAGATATGACATAAAACAATTACTGACTGTACCCAATATTGTGGGTGTAAAAATACATTAAGATATGACATAAAACTATTACTGACTGTACCCAATATTGTGGGTCACAAAATACATTAAGATATGACATAAAACTATTACTGACTGTACCCAATATTGTGGGTCAAAAAATGCATTAAGATATGACATAAAACTATTACTGACTGTACCCAAATTGTGGGTCACAAAATACATTAAGATATGACATAAAACTATTACTGACTGTACCCAATATTGTGGGTCACAAAATACATTAAGATATGACATAAAACTATTACTGACTGTACCCAATATTGTGGGTCACAAAATACATTAAGATATGACATAAAACAATTACTGACTGTACCCAATATTGTGGGTCAAAAAATACAATAAGATATGACATAAAACTATTACTGACTGTACCCAATATTGTGGGTCACAAAATACCTTAAAATATGACATAAAACAATTAATGACTGTACCCAATATTGTGGGTCACAAAATACATTAAGATATGACATAAAATAAATGTGGATAGTGTCCACATGTGGACACAGATGATGCCCCCGCTTGCATATCATATAGTTATAAAGGGACATAACTGAAGGACAGTAAAAGTGACGCTACCCAAATTTGAACTTGATCTGAGTTTTGTGTGTAAGTGTCATAACATTTTGTTGAGGCTAACTTAAGTAGAGAACAGAAACTAAAAATTCAGCAATTTTTCTATTTATAAAGGGGCATAACTCAATAATGGTTAAAGTGACACTACCCAAATTCAACTTGATCTGTGTTTTATCAGTGGAAGTCAAAATTAAACATTGCATTGTATAAAGCATTCATTGTAGTTGATTCAACTATAATCATGGACAAAGGAAGATAACTCCAATTTTAAAAATAACTTGATATTTAGAAGAAAATAAAAATTTTGCAATTTTTTCCATTTATAAAGGGGCATAACTCTAGAACGGTTAAAGTGACACCACCAAAATTCAAACTTGATCTGTGTTTTGTGGTAATGAGCATTGTGTATAAGTTTCATAACATTTGGTTCAGGCAAACTTAAGTTAGAGAACGGAAACTAAAACTTTTGCAATTTTTCCATTTATAAAGGGGCATAACTCTAGAACGGTTAAAGTGACGCCACCAAAATTCACACTTGATCTGTGTTTTGTGGTAATAAGCCTTGTGTATAAGTTTCATAACATTTGGTTGAGGCAAACTTAAGTTAGAGGACGGAAACTAAAAATTTTGCAATTTTTCCATTTATAAAGGAGCATAACTCTAGAACGGTTAAATTGACGCCACCAAAATTCATACTTGATCTGTGTTTTGTAGGTAATAAGCCTTGTGTATAAGTTTCATAACATTTGGTGGAGGCAAACTTAAGTTAGAGAACGGAAACTAAAAATTTTGCAATTTTTCCATTTATAAAGGGGCATAACTCTAGAACGGTTAAAGTGATGCCACCAAAATTCAAACTTGATCTGTGTTTTGTGAAAATAAGCATTGTGTATAAGTTTCATAACATTTGGTTGAGGCAAACTCAAGTTAGAGAACGGAAACCAATTGTGGGACGTACGGACGGACGGACGTACGTACGTATGTACAGACGGACAAGGGTAAAACTTAATGCAACCACCGCTACGGCGGGGGCATAAAAATTACTGACTGTACCTAATATTGTGGAGCATGATATGAGTAAATTGTGGTTATATCTTATCTCATAGTAAGCATCACTCTTTTGTATTGTAATCACCATTTCTTAATGGATATGAAAAACGTCTTTAATATTATGTATTATGCATTATTTTTTACAGTTCTTCTGTGCTGATGGAAAGTTTAGTTCTATGGCTTCAGTGATGTTCAGATCTCCAGAGGAAAGTGTAAAAAGTTTATTTCATGATTTGCCAGGTAATGAATAAGAAAACTTTCATAAGGTTTTTTGTTGATGTGAAATTGTGAATGTTCAACCATCCCCTTACCTGGGACCGTGGTGAAACAATACAATATATATGAAAAAAAAAAATGTAAAAATCAGTTGGAAATGGCTTGACTTTTCAGATTGGCACAAAGCACAAAAAAGTAACATCAGTATAAAGCTTTTGGATGATCAATTTTGATTTTAACATATCTATCTTTGAATTCTTCTTAATTACTTTTACTGGAATTAGATCATAATTCATCAGGTCCTAATAAATATTATATATGGAATGATCATTTTGGAGCTTATAATTCTGCTGATATGATAAATAACTTTTGAACCAATGAATTGCTGAAGTCATGCATTGTTTTCAAAAAGAAATTAATAATATCAAAAATCAATGTTGACATGTAGTTTTATTATACGACCGCAAAAAAATTTTTGTGGTCGTATATTGGTATGACGTTGGCGTCGTCGTCGTCGTCGTCCGGCGTCGTCGTCGTCGTCGTCGTCCTGCGTCGTCGTCCGAATACACATTGGTTTTCGCACTCTAACTTTAGTTTAAGTGAATGGATCTTTTTGAAATTTTACCATAAGGTTAAATACCACAAAAGGAAGGTTGGGATTGATTTTGGGGGTTATGGTACCAACAGTTAAGGAATTAGGGGCCAAAAAGGGGCCAAAAATAAGCATTTTCTAGTTTCCAGACAATAACTGTGGAACAGTGTATGGATCTCTCTGAAATTATACTACAAGTTTCCATACCACAAAGGGATGGTTAGGATTTGCTTTGGGGGGTTACGGCTCAAACCGTTTAGGAATTAGGGGCAAAAAAGGGGGAAAAACAAGGTTGTCTTTGTTAATGGACAAATACTTTAGTACAAAACATAATTTAAAGCAGTGTAAGGGAGATAAATCAAATACATCATTGAAATTATCTCCCTTACACTGCTTTTAAATTATGTATAAAGTAATGGTTAATGAACAATAAAGATAATTTAAAACAGTGTAAGGGAGGTAATCCAAATACAACGTTTTGGTTACTTCCCTTACACTGCTTTTAAATTATGTTTAAAGAAATGCATATTTATAAAGGAAGACCAGTAAAAATATCTGCAAATGTTGCATCATTTTATTTTACAAAAAAATCTATATGAAAGATTTGACACTATATTTTTAATTCTTTTATAAAATAGATTAAGTTAGCACTATGGTAAAATTAAATGGGTAATTATGGTTGCCAACTCCATTGGAAATTTGAATTGAGATTATGACCATATCTTGAGGGAAAGAATTTTTTGGGGGAAAAAAGGGGGGGGGGATAAAAAGAAATTGTGGGGGGTCAATTTTTTCTCATTTCAGATTTCAGAAATTAAAAAGAATTATTCTTCAAATATTATTTTTTTTTCAAATTTCAAATATTGAAAAATTTCAAGAAGTTATCTTTAATTGCACAGTATGGCACATTAGATTTGTAAAATCTTTGATCACATTTATTTATTTGTTATGCCGAATCTAACAGTGTATTTAGATTTTTAATTTTGGGTCCAGTTTTCAAAATAGTCTACATTAAGGTCCAAAGGGTCCAAAATTAAACTTTGTTTGATTTTAGCAAAAATTGAATATACGAGGTTCTTTGATATGCTGAATCTAAACATGTATTTAGATTTTTGATTTTTGGCCCAGTTTTCAAGTTGGTCCAAATTGGGGTCCAAAATTAAACTTTGTTTGATTTCAACAAAAATTGAATATATGGGGTTCTTTGATATGCTGAATCTAACCATGTATTTAGATTTTTTATTTGTGGACCCCGTTATCAAATTGGTTCATACTGAGGTCAAAAGGGTCCAAAATTAAACTTTGTTTGATTTCATCTAAAATTGAATTATTGGGGCTCTTTGATATTCCAAATCTAACCGTGTATTTAGATTTTTAATTTTGGGTCCTGTTTTTTAAATTGGTCTACATTAAGGTCCAAAGGGTCCAAAATTAAACTTAGTTTGATTTTAACAAAAATTGAATTCTTGGGGTTCTTTGATATGCTGAATCTAAACATGTGTTTAGATTTTTGATTATGGGCCCAGTTTTCAAGTTGGTCCAAGATAGGGTCCAGTATTTAAACTTTGTTTGATTTCAACAAAAATTGAATATATGGGGTTCTTTGGTATGCTGAATCTAAACATGTATTTAGATTTTTGATTATGGGCCCAGTTTTCAAGTTGGTCCAAATTGGGGTCCAAAATTAAACTTTGTTTGATTTCAACAAAAATTGAATATATGAGGTTCTTTGATATGCTGAATCTAACCATGTATTTAGATTTTTTATTTGTAGGCCCCGCTATCAAATTGGTTCATATTGAGGACAAAAGGGTCCAAAATTAAACTTTGTTTGATTTCATCAAAAATTGAATTATTGGGGTTCTTTGATATGCCAAATCTAACCGTGTTTTTAGATGTTTAATTTGGGTCCCGTTTTTTAAATTTGTCTTCATTGAGGTCCAAAGGGTCCAAAATTAAACTTAGTTTGATTTTAACAAAAATTGAATTCTTGGGGTTCTTTGATATGCTGAATCTAAACATGTGTTTAGATTTTTGATTATGGGCCCAGTTTTCAAGTTGGTCCAAGTTGGGGTCCAAAATTAAACTTTTTTTGATTTCAACAAAAATTGAATATATGGGGTTCTTTGATATGCTGAATCTAACCATGTATTTAGATTTTTTATTTGTGGGCCCCGCTATCAAATTGGTTCATATTGAGGTCAAAAGGGTCCAAAATTAAACTTTGTTTGATTTCATCAAAAATTGAATTATTGGGGTTCTTTTATATTCCAAATCTAACCGTGTATTTAGATTTTTAATTTTAAGTCCTGTTTTTTAAATTGGTCTACATTAAGGTCCAAAGGGTCCAAAATTAAACTTAGTTTGATTTTAGCAAAAATTGATTTCTTGGGGTTCTTTGATATGCTGAATCTAAACATATGTTTAGATTTTTGATTATGGGCCCAGTTTTAAAGTTTGTCCAAGTTGGGGTCCAAAATTAAACTTTGTTTGATTTTAACAAAAATTGAATATATGGGGTTCTTTGATATGCTGAATCTAACCATGTATTTTGATTTTGGACATTGGACCATAATAGGTAAATTAAAAAAATTCAAGTTCTTAGACCACATTCTTTCTGTGTCAGAAACCTATGCTGTGTCAAATATTTAATAACAATCCAAATTCAGAGCTGTATCAAGCTTGAATGTTGTGTCCATACTTGCCCCAACTGTTCAGGGTTCGACCTCTGCGGTCGTATCAAGCTGCGCCCCAGCGAAGCATTTTATTCATGTTTTGACTACATGCAGTCAATAGTCAATGTAGGCCTTGTGTGCGTTAAAGTGTACATAAAAAACTTTATTTCTGATATGACGTTCTTCTTTTACTTTAGCTTATTTCAATAGAACATAGCAGATATCACAATTGAAATTGCAACATCGGTTGTATTTTGAACAATATCGGAGAACAAAATGGACATTTGTGTTGATGTTGCTCGCTAAGAAATTAAATAAAATGATTTTAAAAGTAAATTTACATGTATCTGTTCATTTTTTATCATGAAACGGTTGATATTCTATATCGTTTTGGCTTCATAAAATCTCAAAATGGCTGTCTTTCAAACATGTATTATAGGCACCCTTCGAAGTACAAAAGTTCTAAATTTTTCTATTAGAATCAAAATAATTCTATCATGCCATGCTCTGTGCTCTTTTTAACATGAGCAGGGATTGTATTGTTCAATGTTTTACACCTCGCTAACACTCTGTATATAGATATTGACAAATAAAATGCCTACCCATGTTGAAATGAGCATAGAGCATGGCATGAACGAATTATTTCTTAAATTAAGAACGAGAATTTTATTATGAATATTTAAAGAAGATGCATATATTGAATAAAAATTATTATTATAATATAAATTATTAAGTTATTTAACTATTTATATGACAAAAAACTAAAAAAAAATTCTCAGCTATAAGCATGCTTAAATTTAAACAGCCTTAAAGGACCACCTTTTGATTTTCAGTAGGAAGGGGGATTTTTTTTGCTTCTGGCATATTCATGTTACACCTGTTGAAAAAATTATTTTCGCCTTTAGTACACAACTATTTCTTCCAAAGTCCTGCATTTTTTAGGACAAAAAATTCACTTTCACTTGTCTTGGGCAAAGTTATTTTTACAGTTAGTACCAGTCCAGAATATTTATTTTCAAAATCCTTTTTTTCACCTTTTGTTATGCTTCTTTAGCTTGTGTAATCGTGACATTTTTAAAACTCTCAAAGTACTCCAATCAGTAGAGTGATTTTCTTAAGGCACCAACCATTTTACTTCGAGGGACAAACGATTTTATTACTTCAATACTTGAATAAAACACCAACAATTTTTGCTTCTTCAATTCTATGTAATGTACATTTAAATTACGTGTACATGTAGAACAGTGTAAACAATTCTCATGTGCATGTAACTCAAACCGGTGTACACATGAGAACAAATGTAATGTTCATTACATGAAACTTAATGTAAACAGGTTTACAGTCATGACGTTTGGTGTGAACACAGCCCTTATTTTAATATGTTGCCTGTATAGCAGTGTGAACACAGCCCTTATTTTAATATGTTGCCTGTATAGCAGTGTGAACACAGCCCTTATTTTAATATGTTGCCTGTATAGCAGTGTGAACACATTGGAATCACTATTCATCAATGATACCTTGCTACAAAGTAACTTCAGTAAAAACTTGTTAAATTACATGTATGTCTTTCCCATGTGCTTAATTCATTTTAATTTTTTAAAAGAATGACTTTTTGGCTTTCTTATTGCAAAACATTAACTTTGTGATTTTAAAAAATAGGAGAAAGCATCGCCATTGACAACTTCTGTTAAACCAGTATATGAGATTCACAACAATCGTTTGTGGGACATAACAAAAGATTATTTTTTTTTCATTCCTTTTTGAGAGAAATATTTTTATGACATAATTGCATTGAAGTTTCTCTATTTCTTGAAGAATAATTGTTTTATTTGTATATATAATACTTATCTTATTTATTTTATATCAGAGACCTACCAACCAACCACATTGATTTTATATTGTTCCATGTGTTTTTTTCTTGCCTTGTGGACATATGGTCTTTTTGTTCCAAGTGGACTTTTTATACCAAGTCTTCTTATTGGTGCTGGATGGGGTCGTTTGGTTGCCATACTTCTACATTACATCAGCCCAACAGCTGTAAGTTATGTTAACTTTCTTTATTATGGACATTGATGTCTAGATGGCTGGATATATAGATATATGATAGAATTTATGGATACCTGCCAAAAAATGTGATTTACCAGGTCACTCAGACTTCCTCCACTGACATTCATACAGCTGTATGATATATATACATTTAGTTATCCCTAATTTTTACCTGCGTAGTTGAAGGCGAAAGCTGTTCTAGTAACTTCTGGACTCTGTCTGTCCGTCTGTCCGAAAGAAAACTTTCGTCAAAGTTTATTTGGCTTCTATGAAAGGGAATGATTTAATATTTGGTCTGCAGCTTCATAATGTTGAGTTGTAGCTAGTAAGCAAATTTTTACATCTGCTGTGTAGCCGCTTCCTGTTTGTTGATAGAAATTTTACAACACTCATTGTACAAGGAAAATTTTCGTCACAGTTTTCTTGGCTTTTATGAAGGGAAATGATTTAATATTTGCTCTGCAACTTGATAATGTTGATTTGTAGGGAGTAAACAATTTTTATACGACCGCAAAAAAATTTTTGTGGTCGTATATTGGTATGACGTTGGCGTCGTCGTCGTCGTCGTCGTCCAGCGTCGTCGTCCGAATACACATTAGTTTTCGCACTCTAACTTTAGTTTAAGTGAATGGATCTCAATGAAATTTTACCATAAGGTTCAATACCACAAAAGGAAGGTGGGGATTGATTTTGGGGGTTATGGTACTAACAGTTAAGGAATTAGGGGCCAAAAAGGGGCCAAAAATAAGCATTTTTGTAACTTCCAGACATAACTTGTGTGTAAGTATATGGATCTCTCTGACATTGTACCACAAGGTTCCATATCACAAAGGGAATGCTGGGATTGATTTTGGGGGTAATTGCCTCAAAATTTTAGGAATTAGGGGCAAAAAAGGGGCAAAAAACAAGCATTTTTCTAGTTTCATGACAATAACTTGTGTGTAAGTGTATGGATCTCTCTGACATTGTATCACAAGGTTCCATATCACAAAGGGAATACTGGGATTGATTTTTGGGGGTAATTTCCTCCAAATTTTGGGAATTAGGGGCCAAAAAGGGGCAAAAAACAAGCATTTTTCTAGTTTCAGGACAATAACTTGTTTGTAAGTGTATGGATCTTTATGAAATTGTACTGCAAGGTTCCATATCACAAAGGGAAAGCTGGGTTGGAGTTTGGGGGTAATTGCCCTAAACGTTTAGGAATTAGGGGCCAAAAAGGGACAAAAAAACAAGCATTTTTCTAGTTTCCAGACAATAACTTGTGTTCAAGTGAATGGATCTCTCTAAAATTGTACTGCAAGGTACCATACCACAAAGGGAAAGCTGGGATTGAGTGTGGGGGCGATGAATCATAAGGGGGTTCAAAAAATTTGGGGGGGGGATTTTTTTTTCCTTTTTTTTCTTTAAAATTTTCCATTTTAAATTGGTTATTTCTGATTTATATATAAAAGCAAATAATAATGATATGGTTTGAATAGCATACATGTGAACCTCCCGACAGGAGTACAATAATCCTGTTTTCAGGAGTCTCCTCCCGACCTCCGGTTGAAGAGGAAAATTATAATCCCGTGTATGAAATTTTTCATGAATGAAAAATTTCTGCCCAACATATCATCTCAGGCATCTGGTGTAACTCACATTACCTGAAGTTATATTTTACCTGTAAATCAATTAACATGCATAATTATATGGCTTCACTTGTCAGTTTGGGTGTCAAACATACTGGTAATCAATGATTTTTTACCTCAGGCTAACTGCCGTTGTGTAACAAAAACTGTGTATTTATTGGGTTACTTCCCTTGATTTATCCTGTTTTAAGTTACTTTCCTTTTAATAATGAAAATTTTTAAAAGAATATAAATAAAATATAAATTGAACAAATAATCATAAAAGGATGGTAAATAAATGATTTTAAATGTCTTAGGACAAATAAAAAAATAATAATTTGAAAATTATTTGAGGATTCTATACTTCCTTTCAAGGCTTAAATTGAAATTTATATAATAACTATGACCCTTGTTTTACAGTTAGAATGATTTTCTGAGTATGCAAACAAAAGCTATTTGCAGATAGATAAACAAATGTTCTGGTTGCAATAAATGTTTTATAGAATATGAAGTAAAAAATTTAAAGAACATACTGAAAAAAAAAATGTTAGATTGAACATGTAAAATATAAAGATGGAGAAACTTTATAAGTACAAGGGTACTATAAACATAATAAATTGGATGGAAAGTTGAAGAAAACACACTTTAAAAGACCATTTTTACAGCACACGGTTACATTTACGACAAAATTTATGTCGATTAAAAACCTCCTGATCTGAGTCCTAATCTCCTGACCAAAATTTCCCAATCTCCTGATCTGAGTTTCACAGTCCATCACATGTATGAATAGGTAAATTAAAAAATTATAAGTTCTTAGACCACTTTCATTCTGTGTCAGAAACCTATGCTGTGTCAAATATTTAATTACAATCCAAATTCAGTGCTGTATCAAGCTTGAATGTTGTGTCCATACTTGCCCCAACTTTTCAGGGTTTGACCTCTGCGGTCGTATCAAGCTGCGCCCCAGCGGAGCATTTTATTAAATCTGCCTTGTAGCCACTTCCTGTTTGCGGATAGTTTGAAAGGAGTAGGTCCGGTAAGGGCCGATTTTGGCCTCAAACTTCAAGTTTATCTGATGACAGATTTTGGACACTTTTTAAACACTTAAGTGTTTACTTTATTAGATTCAATAAGTTTATGTGAAAGATTTGGACTGATTTAGTCATTAAAAGACGCTCAAATTCAAGCTTAAATATTAAAAATCTATCAAATATGCCATAATATGTCCCTTTTCAGATGTTTTTTGTCCGTGTTCATCCTCAATCTTTATATATGTTATGTATTATCATCAAATACAACTTACATTTAAATATTAAGAATGAACACAAATGCGGCCACTTCCATTTCAGACAAAAAAACGTCTAAAAATTCACACAAATGCTCAAATTGTGAAGATTTCAGTAATTTAGCATGACTTAACGATGCTAGTACCCAATACATGTGCATTGTATTGTCAAAAACAGCCCATATTTATGTAACAGAAGTATTCTTCTTTCCAATAAATAGCTAAACGTTAACATTTTAACAATTTTGTAAAACTGCTATATTTTGGGGCCAAAAAGGGGTCTTAGTGGACCTACTCCTTTTACAACACTCATTGTACTAGGAAAATTTTCGTCAAAGTTTTCTTGTCACCTATTGAAAGGAATGATTTTGATATTTGGTCTGGGAATGATAAGTTATGCTCCTTTATGCATGTTATCTCAATCAATTGCATGCAGCAACGCAGGTCCAACCTGGCATATGTCTTGTTATAAGTAATCCATCATGTTCAATAGCTGTTCTAGATAAACTGTTTTCAGTATAAACTGAGATAAGCTGTAGAAGTATGAAGATAAATTAATCACTTTTGTTTAAAAATTGAAACAGATTCTCCAAACCTTTGTTACACATGCTACAGTTTTTGTCTCGCCTGCAACTTTCATCGCAGTATGCGAGACATAGGTATTACAATCCGGTGGTGGCTATGGTGGCAGCGATGTAAACTATTTGTATAAAGCTTTATATTTCAGAAGGTAGAAGACCTGGATGCTTAATACCTTGTATGCAGATACCTTAAGTTATAAAGTTTCCTTCTGTCATATGTCCATGGTCCTTGACCTCATTTTCATGGTTCAGTGACTGCTTGAAATTTTCATGCCCCCGCTGTAGCGGAGGGTGCATTAAGTTTTACCCTTGTCTGTATGTACGTCCCTCCGTATGTCTCGAAATTGGTTTCCGTTCTCTAACTTTAGTTTGCCTCAACCTAATGTTATTAAACTTATACACAATGCTTATTACCACAAAACACAGATCAAGTTTGTATTTTGGTGGCGTCACTTTTACCATTCTAGAGATATGCCCCTTTACAAATTGAAAAATTGCTGAATTTTTCGTTTCCGTTCTCTTAAGTTTGCCTCAACCAAATGTTATGAAACTTATACACAATGCTTATTACAACAAAACTCAGATCAAGTACGAATTTGGGTAGCGTCACTTTTACGGTTCATGAGGTATATGCAAGCAGGGTCATCACCTGTGTCCCATGGACACATTCCCATTTTTAGCTCACCTGGCCCGAAGGGCCAAGTGAGCTTTTCTCATCACTTGGCGTCCGTCGTCCGTCATCAGCGGCGGCGGCATCATCGTCGTCGTTAGCTTTTTACAAAAATCTTCTCCTCTGAAACCACTGGGCAAAATTTAACAAAACTTGGCCACAATCATCATTAGGGTATCTAGTTTAAAAAATGTGTCCGATGACCCCGCCAACCAACCAAGATGGCCGCCATGGCTAAAAATAGAACATAGGGGTAAAATGTAGATTTTGGCTTATATCTCTGAAACCAAAGCATTTGGAGTAAATCTGACGTAGGGTAAAACTGATTATCAGGTCAAGATCTATCTGCCCTGAAATTTTCAGACAAATCTGACAACCTGTTGTTGGGTTGCTGCCCCTGAATTGGTAATTTTAAGGAAATTTTGCAGTTTTTGGTTATTATCTTGAATATTATTATAGATAGAGATAAACTGTAAACAGCAATAATGTTCAGCAAAGTAAGATCTACAAATAAGTTGACATGACCAAAATTGTCAGTCAACCCCTTTAGGAGTTATTGCCCTTAATAGTCAATTTTTAACAATTTTTCGTAAATTTTTGTAATCTTTTACAAAAATCTTCTTCTCTGAAACTACTGAGACAAATTTAACCATACTTGGCCATAATCATTATTAGGGTATCTAGTTTAAAAAATTTGTCTGATAACCCCGCCTTCCAACCATCATGGCCGACTTGGTTAAAAATAGAACATGGGGGTAAAATGCAGTTTTTGGTTTATATCTCTGAAACTAAAGCATTTAGAGCAAATCTGACAGGTGGCAAAAATGTTCATCAGATTTAGATTTATCTGCCCTGAAATTTTCAGACAAATCAGACAACCTGTTGTTGGGTTGCTGCCCCTGAGTTAGTAATTTTACAAAAATTTTGCAGTTTTTTGTTATTATCTTAGATATCATTATAATATCTAATATCTAATACTATTAATTATGATTTTAACCTTATTTTACATGATTTCCAAAGCATCAGTAAATACAGGTGAGCGACACAGGCTCTTGAGAGCCTCTAGTTTATCTTTTATGTCAAGTGAATCACTTATTATGAGTAATAGTATAACTATATTTGGTATATGGGTTCCTTGCAATGTTTACATGTCCATCAGACAGGGTTCGCCTGACCTCGACCTCATTTCATGGATCAGTGATTAAGGATGAAGTTATGTGATTAGGTCCGTTTCTCAGATACTATATTTAGTGTATGGAATGATTGTAAAGGGTACATGTCAGTCTGGCAGGTTTCATCTGACCTTGACCTCATTTTCATGGTTCATTGGTCAATGTTAAGTTTTTGTGTTTTGGTCTGTTTATCAATTACCATAAGCAAGAGATCAACTATATTTTGTGTATGGAATTATTGTAAGGTGTACATGTCTGTCTGCCAGGATTTATCTGACCTTGACCTCATTGTCATGGATCTGTTAGAATGTTAAGTTTATGTGAAACTTGTAGTAAAACCTTTATCTTTAAGAATTTTAACATAAAATAAATGGTCAGTAAAGCAGGCAAGACATTTCAGCATGTGCACTCTTGTTTTTTTTAAATACAGCCAAACCTGCATATAAAGGTCACCCTTTGAACCAGAGAAAACTAACCTTATAAGAGAGATTTATTGAGGTTCAAAATGTGAAGGTTATACTACAGCAGGACAATAAAAGACACAATTTCACTTAATATAGCAAGTTTGACTGATGTTATGACATCTTTTGTCCAGTGAAGATTGGGATAACTAATGGTTATACTGTTTCATTCTATCTGCTGTTGTTTTCAACAAGCAAAATCTTATCAATTTCTATAGGAATATAGGCACTGAAAAAATCTTTAAAAAAAGCTGTTTTTGTAATCAAAATTTCAAAAATAAACATCATTGGTTCAAGGATTATGTGAATGATCCCAATCAAATAATTTAATAAGTTGTTTGATTTTTTAGAAATGGGTGACCTTTGAAAAGTATGCATTACTTGGAGCAGCAGCACAACTTGGTAAGTTTTAGATGCACAAACAGTAAAAACACAAATAATGCAGTTTACTATTTTGTGTAAAAACTCATATTTTATCATGAACAGTTGATAATTCAATGTTTCAATAATCAAATGAATTACTGGAACGGAGAATGTGAGTTTTTACTAAAGTGTTTATTGGCTTTGGTTCCAGATGCAGTGATGTACATTCTTCTGGTATACTATGGGATAATGTTGGAACATGAATAATAATTTTTCCTTTGGCTCTTAGAATGAGTTTACTCCTGTTTATTTTAACAGGAAGTTTTTTTTTAGTTATTGCACTATTCAATGTTATTGTTGACTGCTTGTCTTAGGAAAAACAAAGAATTAGAGGAGCTTAGACCATCTGAGAGGTTGTTCTTGCACTGTCTTGGTCCGCCTACTTGGACTATTAGATAATGAAACAATATGGAATATCAATATCAATGACCATGAAATTTCCCTAAAAAATAAAAAAATGCATACACAACAAATTATCAAAACATAAATTAGGGAGGGGTTAGTTGGCTTTATTTCTCGATGGAACTCGAACCAAATTGGTTTTACCAAATATAACCTTACTTTTAAAACTAAGTCTTTACCTTACCCTTACACTAGCCAAACTCGTAAACCTAACCTTAAATTATAATATGTTTTCCAAACTAGAAGTGAATGAATGGCCAAGAGGCGCTACAATAAAAAATAAAAGAAAAGACAATATTGTGAAATTTCTTTATCAAACAATGTGTCTGTTGACCCTGTCTGTGGACCAACATGGCTGACATGGCCGAAAATAGAACATACAATGCAAGTCTTGTCTATTATCTTGAAAACTGCTATAAACAGAGACAAGAGGCTGTCGAGTGACAGCAAACCGGATTTTCCTGCAGAGGTCGAACCCTGAACAGTTGAGCAAGTATGGACACAACATTTCAGCTTAAAACAGCTCTGAATTTGGATTGTGATTGAATATTTAAAATAGATTATTATCTAATTAATAATGAAAATGATATTTGCAAATCTGAACCCCCAAACAGGATCATGTAAAAATTAAACATTAACACACACAACAAAAATAAAATACCACATAACAACTGTGACATCTACCTTCATAACACACTTGACTTAAAAAAAATAGTTATAAAGAAATTTTGACAACTAATGACTAAAATTAATTGAACAGAATCCATATACTTATGTTACCATTACTGGTTCATGGAATAAGTTTGAGTTATTTCCCTGTGAACATAAATGGTTTAACTAATAAAGCAAACATAGTTCTCTAAAATTAGATATGATTTAACCACTAAAAATAGTTCTCTAAAATTAGATTTGATGTTACACAATGTATATCTATTTTCAAATTATTATCAAATATAATAAATAGTTCCAAATATTTTTTCTTTCATTTGTCACAAACTAATATAGATCTGCAACTTATCTATCAATGTCAACAACTTTATCTTCACAATGTAATGTAATGAAATATATCCTTTAATAAAAATAGATTATTATCTAATTAAAGGAGTTCACTTCATCAAAAAAAAATTATATATAGCATTCAGAAAATTAGTTTATACAGAATAACAAACAAACCTACCACAAAATTCTTCATACAATTTACCAAAGAAAAGAAAAAAAAATCCAAAATGTCATTTATCAATAATACAATGTCTTTTAAAAATCTTTTAAAAAATGAGTTATTTCCCTTTGAACAGAAATGGAGTAATTAATAAGTATTACATCAAAAATTCTTGGGAAAGGGCTATATCTCATCAACTAGAAAAGCTAAAATCGTGAAAATTGAACTTGACTTTCATATAGTCACAGGAAACAACATATCTAAAATAAAAAATTTCGTCAAAGCATTTTCATGTTAATGAACGGACACTGTTTGGAAGCCCCCCCCCCCCCCCAGTACATCCCCAAATCAATAACCGATTTTTCCTTCGAAAATCCGGTTAAAAATCTGACAGATGTTCAGAATGTTGAAATCTACATACTGTTGACAGTTCATTTATGTCAACACTGTTAGACGGCTTTTATTGGAGTTATTGTCCTTAAAAGGTGAATTTTGCCAATTTTTTTTTTCAGTTTGCCTATTGTCTTGCAAACTATGATAGATAGACACTTAAATAGCAAAAATGACCAGCAAGAAAAAATACACAAAATTTTAAGTCAACATGGCGGAAATTGTTAGAGAACTCCTTATTGGATTTATTGCCCTTTAATGAAGAACTTTACCATTTTTTTGCGTTGTCTAATATCTTAAAAGCTTTAAAAGATAGATAGAAATTTTAGATAGGCAATATCTACAAATAAGTTTAACGGCAGAGATTGTCAGCTAACCCCATATTGAAATTAATGCTCTTTAATGTCAATTTTTACCAATTTTTTTGTGCTTTTGTGTATTATCTTGAAAACTAATAGATAAATCGACACTTGACTTGTCAAAAAAGATCACAAGACAAAATCTACAAATAATTCAAATTTCTAAAATTTATGTCACTTGATGTTCAGTCATTTCATCCTCTCTATACAATTGAGTATGCAAAAATATTTTTCCCAGGACATGACTCAATCAACAACCAATGAATAAATTGATCTTTGACCTGTTGTAATTAAAGGAAATATACCTTTACTATTGGTTTAAAAATGTTTCCTTTTTATCATGTTTAACTCCTCTGAAACTACACATCATAATGGCTTTGAAAGCAGGTAAAATGGTATACATTGAACCAGATTTTGGATCTTTCCCCTCAAAACTTTTTGGGGAGATTTCACTGTTCAATGACACATAATTTATCTTTTAATTTTTTCTTTATTTCAGTCAATGTCCATAAACAGTTTTGTAATTCTGTAATATAGGTGAAATTAACTTATTTTACGGTTTTCTGATGAAAATATAGCTTTTAAAAAATTTTGACCATCACACAAACTGTTCTTAATGGAAGTCTGCTGATATTTACTCCCACTTTTTTTTTCTAAGTCCTTAAATAGTAAAATCCATGGTGTGCAGGGTTGCAAGTGAAAGCACACAAGAAAATTCTCATGTTTTCACAACGATTTCCATATACGTTTAAGTTACGATGTTTGCCAAAAATTCAAGATTTTTTTTTAATGTCTGTGGTAAATGCATGCCATCTTGAAATATAAACTTTAAAGGCAAAGCTTAGCTTAAATAAATTGATTGATACATTTTCATTAACTTTAAACATTATTTTTCCATTTAATAATTAGTCCTTGTAAAAAATACATGTCCGTACTAACAGACATAGATAAACCAACTAGTGCTGAGAAAGTATGACATTCGCAATTTGTCTGTCACTAGTGCAAAAAATCTTAAAATATAATAATTCTCCTTTTTTTGCCAAGCAATAACTGTGAAGGCTACATTATTCACTCTATTGGGTCTGTAAATTTCTATAATAATCTTATTGCAACAAGGCATTTATTTGTACCTTATAAAGATATCCTACTGAACAATGTAGACCTTCTTCATGTGTTCCTTTTCCAAAAATAATACTTTTTGTGCACCACTATTTGATTGATATATATAATTCATGAAAACCACAGTTCAGTTTTAATCGTAAAAGGCATGCTGTACATATTTAATAATAATAATAATAATAATAATAATAAATTCTTTATTTAAAGAGGGTAACTCAATTAGAAGTAGTCTAATTTTCATTGAGGCCCTCAAACAAAATACATGTATACAGTTAACATTCATACATTCGATTCATACATTAAAATACAATATATATTACTAGTATATACACAATTCAATCATTCAAACATACAAATGGCAATAAATGGCAATAATTGGTAAAGTTTTGATTAAATTTTCTTATTCTTACAATAAAAGAAAGAAAACAAATTATTCGACTTGCATAGAATTTTCAAGAAAATGATTATAACAATGTTTCTTAAATAATTCCACATTTCGACAATTTTTTATTTTGAGTGGTAAATTATTCCATACCTTTGTTGCAGAATAATAAAAAGATTTTTTATAAAAATTTTTGTTTGGTCTTGGAACAAATAGATCATTATTAGAGACAGATCGTAAGTTGTGGTGTTGCACATCATTAATATTTAGCATTGTTAAGTAATCAGGTGTTAGTCCATTTACAATTTTATACATTAGAATTGATTGTTGGTATTTTATTCTTTTTGTAAAAGATAGCCATTTTAAAGATGAAAACATAAAATTAGATGGAACAGAAATATCGCATTCAAGTATAATTCTTGCTACTCTTTTTTGAAGTTTTATGATTCTATCTGAATCTTTTTGTAATAAATTTCCCTAAACTGAACTACAACAGTCTATATATGGTAGAATATATGCATTATAAAATAGTTGTCTTGTGTGTATAGGCAAATATACTTTAATTTTAAACAAAAGTGATATTTTAGATGAGATAATCTTGCATATACGATCAACATGATCCTCCCAGCTTAAATTTTCATCAATGTCAATTCCAAGTAATTTGAAAGAATGGACATTTTCAATACATGTTTCATTGACGGTAATACATAACAGGCGCGTAGCTGCCTTAACGCAAAAAATCATTTGCTTGCACATTTTTGTTCACAAAAAAAAATTCTGAAATTGAATTACGGTCTGATAGGTCATTTAGTGCATTACGGCGACTGAAAACTTATATCTGTGTAACCATGGTACAGGACAGACTATCTTCGTTGGCTCTCATATATGTTCACAGAGAAATGGATATCGACACCGAGAGAGTTCTGCGATCATTTGCCTTGGCAAAAAAAATAGATATATAAACTTTGGATATTAACTTTACTTTAAGTCTTACATTTAATAATACAGGCTCAATACAATCACCTTGAAAACATCTTAGATTTATATCCCTTACTTATAAGTCAAGACTTAAAAGTGGCCGTTCGATTTCTTATTTCCATTGCCCGTTCGTCCAAAAGACTATTAATTCACCTGGGGTATCTGTGTCCGAAATGACCTTCTACCGTTG